CGAAGTCCTTAACCAAACCCTAAGCCCTAATTAAACTCTCAGAGCCCCAAACCCCAGTACAAACTCTCAAGCCCAAGACCCTAAACCCTAAACCCTAAACCCTAAACCCTAAACCCTAGAGCCAACCCCTTTGGGCAAGTGAGGTGGGCATGATCGCGGCCTCCAAGGTCATGGAGACGCTGAAGGAGCGAACACGTCATCGTCAGTGTCAGTATCTAGGACCCAGACTAGGCCCTTATTCCACTTGTTTTGGGTTTAGGTTCCCTTATCAGCCCCTTTCTAACCAAAAAGGGTGCCCCTTTCATTCCCAGGTTACTCTTGGGTTTAGGTATTTAACGTTACAGGATGAGTTTGGTCAGTACTATGGTTGTTCTTGTCAGTGTTAGTAGTTGGCGTACTATGAGTTTTTGTTGCTCTTACTATCAGTACTTTCCTTTTCCTCATGAATACCATTACTGTCAGTGCTGTTATGTTTGTCATGATTGTCAATATTGTCAGTGTTGTCAGTACTGCCATGAGGATTCTTGCGCCTCTGCTTATTGCTAAGATTTATCATCGTCAGGATCATGTTATTATCAACGGCATTGTCAACAACATTACCATCGTAGCATCATTGTCAGTCACCATGATCATCAATATTGCCATGCTCCCTTGTCTCATCTTCATTCTGATGGCCACCAATGGCGAGTGCATGTGTCGGGTGTGGGGTGAAGAATAGTAGGAAAGCAATGCGCCAAAGCCCTGACACCTGAGCTGCCCTGAAAGGCTAAGACTGAACGCAACACCTTCAAGCCACAACAAAACCTAAACCCTAACCAGAAACCCCCAATCAACCCTAAGCTTTCATCCCTAAACCCTAAGCCCCAAACCCTAAACCCTAAACCCTAAACCCCAAGCCCTAAACCCCAAACCTAAACCCTAAACCCTAAACCCTAACCTCCCGGTAAAGAAAGCTGAGCGAACCAGCAAGACGGACCTCTGACGCGAGGCTCTCAACTGCGCCGATCTGAGCGAGGCCTGTAGGGGTCCTACTTTCTAGGACGGTTTGCTTCCCCCCATAGGGTTTGGGGTTTAGGGTTTAGGGTTTAGGGTTTAGGGTTTGGGGTTTAGAGGTTTAGGGTGAAATCCTGGGATGCTGCTGTCTGATACATGGCGCTCGTAAGTCTTGAGTCCAAGAATAACAGCCCCAAACCTTAAACTTCAAACTTTAAACTTCAAAACTCCTTAAAATTTCTAGAAGCCTTAATCTAAGAATAATTCAACATACACCAAACCCATACCCCTTCACCTTTGAAAGGAGAATAGGAAGAAGGATTTTGCCACAACCCTGCAGGTCTTTTGGGGTATGCCCAAGGCGTATGTTGAACATTTCTTCGATAAACCCTAAACCCTGAAGCCTAAACCCTAAACCCTAAACCCTAAGCCCTAATCCCTAAACCCTAAGCGTTCCGGAAGCCCTGCATCAGGAAGAGCTTCGGTCACGACCGTGGTCTCAGCTTGCAGAGGTGGACAAAACCACCTTCGTGAAGTATGTGAGGCCCACTTCGGGTTTAGGGTTTAGGGTTTAGGGTTTAGGGTTTAGGGTTTAGGGTTTAGGGTTTAGGGTTTAGGGTTTAGGGTTTAGGGTTTAGGGTTATTATTTTTGTTGAAGGGCTTTTGGGGTTTGGGATGTAGGGTCTCCAGTGTTTAGGGTTCCACATATGTACAGGGTTTCGGGATGTGGGGAGGCTCTTTAGGGTGTGGCATGCAGGGTCTATTGGGTTTTGGGTTGTTGGGGTTTTGGGGTTTAGGGTGTTTGGAGTTGAGGGTACCATATTAATATGCCCCTTACAGAACGTTTTCACCTGCCATTGTTCCCCAAACAGTGTTTGCACCGAGGGCTCCAGACGTTGAGGGTAAAGCAGAGAGCCTGTCTGCGGCCAGCGCGCCGGGACATGCACGCGAGACGTGGCTAGGGTTTCGGGCTTAGGGTTTAGGGTTTAGGGTTCAGGGTTCAGGGTTCAGGGTTCAGGGTTTAGGGTTTAGGGTTTAAGGTCCTTGTTGATATTTCCGATGTGCCCAGCCGCGCCTATGTGGCGTGTGCATTCCGATTGCAAACGACGACCCTCGCGGTGATTCCGTTCTCGCCTCTAATGCCACGCTGCGCTCATGAGAGCCCGCAAACGTCGGATGGCATCCAGAGCCAACAACATGAGCGGGGTTACGAACATAGAGGACCCCCAATATTATGTATAGATCCTCAAACAGTAGGGTTCACGTATAGTCAGGACCCCAATAAGGTACCCGTAATCTCGGAAACCCCCATACCTACTTCGGCGATAGTTGAACTTTGAACTTTTTGGCTTTCCTCATTCAGTAGGAATAGTGAAGTTTAACCTGTTTTTCCCCTTGGCTATTGGAGAAGCAAGCATATTGTAACGTTGTTTTGAAATCGCGGCGGGCGCCAAATCACGTTCTCGCCTGGGTCTCCTGTGCCTTGGATGCTCCAAATCGCGCTCCCGCCACCGGCCGTCCCGCACACGTCCGAGGCTTGCATCGCGCCCTTTCGCGAAAAGGTGAGGGGCGTAGCGGCGTAACCCTAAACCCTAAACGCTACAACCGTAAACCCTAAACCAAAAAACCCTAAAACCTTGAACCCTAAAACCCTATTTAAACCCTAAACCCTAATCTCAGCTGTTGGATGGGTTCGCTTGGAGCGCCTCTTCTTCGGGGTCACGTTGGCTTGCTCTTGGGTGCAGGATGTTTTCGGCTAGGGGTGTGGCTTTAGGCGTGTAGGGGTTTAGGGTGTATTTAGGGTTGAGAGGGGTTCGGGGTTAGTAGGGTTTAGGGTTTAGGGTTTAGGGTTTAGGGTTTAGGGTTTAGGGTTTAGGGTTTAGGGTTCAGGGTTTAGGGTTTAGGGTTTAGGGTTAGGGGTGCCCTTGGGGTGCTCTTGGGCTCCACTTGAAGTGGGCATGCGCTGTGTGGGGTATACTATGTTAGGGTTTAGGGTGTTTCCAACCCTGCACTCCCAACCCTAAAGCCCTAAAACCTACAAAAAACCCCAAGCCCAGCGGCCCGAATCTCAGGACACCAAAGGTGTCACATTAGTGTAGCAGAGGTCCCAAAACCCTGAAACCCTCAAACTTACTCAAACCCTAACATCTACTAGAACCTTACAATACCCACAAACCCCCAAAGAATACCAAAACCCTCTGCCCTCAACCATAGCCCCGCTTTTGCTGGGAGGCAAGAGCTCGAGAGCCAAAGCGCCAAAATGCTGAAGTAGCGGCAGCCTTGGCTCTCTCTCTCTCTCTCTGCCTCTGCCTCTGCCTCTGTCTCAGTCACCGACTCTCACTCTGACTCTCTCTCTCTCTCTCTCTCTCGGGTTTAGGGTTTCTGGGGATTCTAGGGTTTAGGGTGGCTTAGGGATGGTCTACGAGGGCTTGGTCCAATTAGATGGTAGGGCGCTGATGGTATGAAGCCCCGCAACTGCATCTTGACAGCAATCAAGGACTACACAAGTCAGTGTTCACTTCGCGCCGAGGTCTTCGAGAAGCCGAACGACCGGCATGTAGTGAATTTCACCCTCTGCAAGGCGGAACCGAGAAGCTGTGGCGAAATGCTACGCTTCCTCACCCACGTCTCACCCAAGAGAACGGCATCAACAACGCGTGTTAAATTTGATTGCAGCTGGCCATGACATACATGATAAACCCTGCACCCTAGACCCTGGACCCTATTCTGCATACGCCCAAATCGCGCCGCAAAGCATGTTTTGGTGTCGTAGCCTGCGTACGCAAGCTACCTGCAGCTTTTTATGCTTCAAGCGGTTCAGGTGAATGGTGGGTTCAGCTCTTCCGGCAAGAGTTGGTTTTAGGGTTGAGGGTTTAGGGTCCTCCCCCTCCACCCACGAGGAAAACCTGCCACGCCACACGCTTCACGACACGCCTGCAGCTTCTGCGGATGGCCATGATAGCTCAGCAACTTGCGCCAGTGGCAGCCCAGTCTGAATCAGTAGTCCTGTTAAGGGTCGGAATGGTGACTAATAGGATTCCCTAAACCCTAAACCCTAAACCCTAAACCCTAAACCCTAAACCCTAAACCCTAAACCCTAAACCCTAAACCCTAAACCCTAAACCCTAAACCCTAAACCCTAAACCCTAAATTGGTCCCTTTATGTTTATACTCTAAGAACCCCCCAAAAAACCCTATTCTTTGTTAGGGCCCTCACATCAGGTCCGCAGGTATGCAGAGGCCGGTTGCCACTCTCGACAACAAGGGTTTAGGGTTTAGGGTAACAGCCCGTTGTACGTATCTTCACTGTCCAGTGTCTAGAGCGGGTCTTTGTAAACCGCGCGCGCTTGCGCCTCCCGGGCGCCGTGCCGAGAGCAGGCTCCTTGTCCAGGGGGTGTATGTTGAGTTTAAGGTTTTAGGGTTTGGGCTGTCGGGGCTGGGGGGGGGGGGGTCCCTAAACCCTAAGCCCGAAGCCTTATAAACCCTAAAGACGACACAGGGTGGGGGGGGGGGGGGGGGCCTAGTGTGGCTCCAACCTGGCCGCGCTTGTGACGCTCCTTAGTTGGCTTCACTTGCACGACGCTGGAAGCAGGCCTAAGACCCTAAACCTTAAACCGGAGGCGTCGGGTTCAGCAGTGGCGTGGCACAGACAAACGTTCGATACTGTACTGTACTTGTTTGTGTGTGTGTGTTTTTTTTTCCTCCGGTTGTGGGGCTTTTAGGGTTTTGGGATTTCAGCTTGTGTTGGGTTTTTTAGCTTTGCCATTGGCGTTTTGGGTCTGGGGCTTCGCACCCTCGCCAGCTGGCGAGGACCCTAAATCCGGGAACCGTAAACCCTAAACCCTAAACCCTAAACCCTAAACCCTAAACCCTAAACCCTAAACCCTAAACCCTAAACCCTAAACCCTACAGTAAACCGTAAACCCTAAACCCGAAACCCTAAACCCTAAACCCTAAACCCTAAACCCTAAACCCTAAACCCCTTGGAGCATGCCAGTCGCAAGGGGATGGCGCGCGCTGCTTCGGGAGCGGAGACCCTCAGCGAGGTAGAGGACCTCCCATGTACCGTGCCACCGTTTAGGGCTTAGGGTTTAGCTCCTGGTTTGTTTTTGTGAGGTTGATGCCTTGCAGGGTTGGAGTTTTATATGTATATATATATATATATATATATATTTTTTTTTTATAAGACCCGAAACCCTAAACCCTAAACCCTACACCCTAAACCCTAAACCCTACTAAACCCAGAGTTTCGGGCCTTTAAGCTTCAGGGTTTAAAGGGGTCACACCAGAATTTGGGGTTCCGGGGCCTTTGCTTTCTGAGTACCTCCTCTTTGTGGAGCTTTATTGTAGACTTTAGATCCTTAGCCTGTTTGGGTTGATTGGGTTTCTGAATAAGGCAGCTAAACATTAAAGTTATAACTACCCTCCTAAGTGCAGCCAAGTTCTTTGTCATATTGTAGATGCATGGCATGAGTACGTCCATCGTGACAAAAGTGGCGAAGCCCTTTGTGAAGGTAGATTCCTTAAAATCATCCTCCCGAACCCGATGTAGGGTTCCAGGGTTTAGGGTTCAGGGTTTAGGGTTTAGGGTTTAGGTTGGGATGTTCCCCCTTCTACTAGCAGTCCTTGATAGGGATTACAGTACCCCGCAATTAGAATCCCTGTTGAGGACTGTTACTATAAGGGGGAGCATCCCAAGGCTTCGGGTACAAGGATGAGGGCTTCAAGGTATGTTCCCTGAAGGCCATCGCTAGCCCTCTAACCCTAAACCCTTCGTAACGCAGGATTGGCATTCTCAAGCATGGTTCAGGGATTCGGGTTTGCGGTGTTTAGGGTTTAGGTTCATAGTATCTGGGATAGTTAGCAGGTTGGCTATATAATTGTAGCTATTTGGTAGGAATCTCATTTTGATAACCTAGAGCCAAACTTATACGTACACATCCACCCGTGAACCTTCAAGTACTCCCAACCCGCATCCCGAATCCTGTCCTCTGAGCGGGTGTACGTTTGGCATGCCATGCCAACATATCCAATGCCTGCTAACCCTGAACCCTACACCCTAAACCCTCCACGCTGATGACCGCAGCGTCTCTCTTGTTCCCATCACCTTCTTGCCATACGTGGGCTTCATATCCCGGCCTCCACTAAAAGTTCTTCGTGTTTCCATGACAGGAGAAAGCCCTCAAAGAGTTGCAGTCGCTCCTGAAGTGTGGTGCTCAGGCTTGTCAGCAGCCGGTGAGCTAAGCCTCGTTTGGCGTGGCGATGGTGTGACGTTGTCTGTCAGGGCGTCTTCGCAACCTACTGATTTAAGGCTGAATTTCAGCTACATCGAGCCACTGAGCCAGGGTCCAGCCGTCGCTGTCTCAGCTTGGGTGCTGGGCTCTAGAATGGAGAGGCTTTGCTTTCCTTTCAGCAAAGGAAATTCTGCCTCATCTGCTTCTCGGCTCTCGCGACGACGCCGTAGACGTTCAGGCTGCTTGGCATTTTAAACCCCAAACCCAAACCCCAAACCCCAAACCCCAAACCCCAAACCCCAAACCCCAAACCCCAAACCCCAAACCCCAAACCCCAAACCCCAAACCGCAAACCCCAAACCCCAAACCCCCAACCCCCAACCCCAAACCCCAACCCCAAACCCCAAACCCCAAACCCCAAACCCCAAACCCCAAACCCTAAACCCTAAACCCTAAACCCTAAACCCTGAACCCTGAACCCTGAACCCTGAACCCTGAACCCTGAACCCTGAACCCTAAACCCTAAACCCTAAACCCTAAACCCTAAACCCTGCCCTTCTGTCTCAAAGTCTTTCCTCCCAGACGCTGCAGCGGCTCGGTGTCACGCACGTGCTCAACTGCGCTGCGGCGACGGCCCAGACCCTGGACTCCCTAGGCACCACCTAAATCCCTAGACCACATTGACATAATTAAGACCCAAAACCCTAAATCCTAAACCCTAAGCCCTAACCCTAAACCCTAAACCCTAAATCCTAAACCCTAAACCCTAAATCCTAAGCCCTAAATCCTAAACCCTAGACCCATATTCTCGTAAGGTCCGAACAGGTGCCGACTTCTACGCGCCCTCCGGCTGCACCGCTGACCAGCATGTCCACACTTTGGGACATGGTCCTGGCACCCTAGGGTTTAGGGTTTAGGGTTTAGGGTTTCCGAAAATAGGGGGTTCCTTTCGATCGGATGAAAAGTACTTTGGGGCCTATGCGGGGTACCCCACCCTCCTATTTTCTGGAAACCCTCATATAGAACCACAGGATGATTCTGATGTTAAAGAACCACAGGATTATTATGATGTTATGTTCTACTATTTGCTCAAGAACCCCCCCCCCCAACAAAAAAACAAATCTTCCGCAAAAGGGCAGTATGATCATTATGCTAAACCCTAAACGCTAAACCCTAAACCCTAAACCCTAAACCCTAAACCCTAAACCCTAAACCCTAAACCTCAAGCAAATAGCTATTGATCCAGAACCCTATGCCGCTCTGCTCTTGAAGTCGACTCACATCCGAGTCCTGCCGGCATGAAGTACACGGAATTCGTAGCCCAGGATGAGCAGGCACACACTTGGAGGTTCATGGTAGGGTTTAGGGTTTAGGGTTTAGGGTTTAGGGTTTAAGGTTGTACTTTGGAGGTTCATGGTACTTGTAACCTAAATATAACCGCACTTATGACCCACTTAGAAGCCCTTGAGTGCCTGAATATGGCGATAGTTTGGTGATAAGTACACTTCTACTTGGGTGAATGAGTACCATGAAGCTCCAAGCACAAGCTGGTTTGAGCTCTCCCTGTGGTGCGTTCTTCATCTTTTTGCTTGGCTGCGAGTGGCAGTCTGCGCAGGGCTATAACATCATGCAGCACTATGACCTCCTTGCAGGTCTAGCAAACGCTCGGTGGCCCAGCTGGTGCCCTTTACTTTTTTTGGGGGGGGTTCAAGGCTCCCTTATAAATGAGCCAACCGCAAAAAAAAGGGTGCCCTTGTTGAAATATGGTTACTGGGGTACCAAGAACGACTGCAGCCCAGATTGGCGACCTCCAATCCCCAGAGTCGGCTCTTGCTGTCGCCTTGCGCGCCGGCAGGTTTAAAAAGTGCCATCCCGAAAGCCCGAAACCCTAAGCCCTAATCCCTAAACCCTAAACCCTGAACCCTAGACCCTAGACCCTAAACCCTAAACCCCCAAACCCTAAACCCTAAACCCTAAACCCTAAGCCCATTCAGGAAGCTGCTGCCAGCAAGGGCCGCCTGTTCGTACACTGCGAGGCGCCATGGAGAACCAAGGGTAGTTCTAAGTTATCGTCCCTTTCAAGAGGCTTTTTAATCCACAAACAGAGGAGCTTGCAGGAGCCGTTCTTTCACAGCTTGTGGAAGCCGGGTCATACAAACCCCAGGCCCCAAACCATCAACTCCTTCAGACCCTAAACGCTGCAACTCCTTAACCCCGGAAACCTGGCTACCCTAAAATATCCAAAGATCTAAATTGAAACCCTAAACCAAAACCCTGAACCCCCTAACCCTAAGCCCGAAACCCTAAACCTTAAACTCTAAACCCTAAACCACAAAACTGAAACCCCTGAACCCCTGACCACAGGCCGGTGTCAACAGGTCTGGCTCACTGTGCTTGGCCTACCACGCGGTCAGCCCCAGCGCGCTTCGACTCCCCAGTTGGTTTCGGGTTTAGGGTTTAGGGTTTAGGGTTTGGGGTTTAGGGTTTGGGTGTAGGGTTTAGGGTTTGGGGTTTAGGGTGTAGGGTTAGGGTGTAGGGTTGTGGGCGTCTTGGGCGAATACCGCCAAAGCACCCCGCACACCTAAACCCTAAACCCGAAACCCGAAACCGCCCTATACCCTAAACCCTGAACCCTGAACCCTAAAGCAACAAGCCTAAACCCTAAACAGTAAACCCTAAACCCTGAACCCTGAACCCTGAACCCTGAACCCTGAACCCTGAACCCTGAACCCTAAACCCTAAACCCTAAACCCTAAACCTAAACACTCCCTATCCTTATAGATTTAAAACCTATTAACTTTTTGGTGCATTTACCCTGCAATCGGCACCGTTCTTGAGCCATTTTTGGTGCGTCGGCACCGTTCTTGAGCCATTTTGGTGCGTCGGCACCGTTCTTGGTGCGTCGGCACCGTTCTTGAGCCATTTTTGGTGCGTCGGCACTGTTGTTGAGTGAACTTTATATCTTAATGTTATGGGATTCTTTGGGTGTGGGTTTGTTCCTAAGCCTGGAACCCCCTAATGACTAGTGAATGCTAGAACTGTGACCCTCTAGACCCGAAACCCTAAACCCTAAACCCTAAACCCTAAACCCTAAACCCTTTAAACCTAAACACTCTCTATCCTTATAGATTTTAAACCCTATTAACTTTTTGGTGCATTTACCCTGCAATCGGTACCGTTCTTGAGCCATTTTCGGTGCGTCGGCACCTTTCTTGAGCCATTTTGGTGCGTCGGCACCGTTCTTGAGCACTTTTTGGTGCGTCGGCACCGTTCTTGAGCCATTTTTGGTGCGTCGGCACTGTTGTTGAGTGAACTTTATATCTTAATGTTATGGGATTCCTTGGGTGGGTGGGTTTGTTCCTAAGCCTGGAACCCCCTAATGACTAGTGAATGCTAGAACCGTGACCCTCTAGACCCTAAACCCTAAACCCCAAACCCTTTTAAACCCTAAACCCTAAACCCTAAACCCTAAACCCTAAACCCTAAACCCTAAACCCTAAACCCTAAACCCTAAACCCTAAACCCTAAACCCTAAACCCTAAACCCTAAACCCTAAACCCTAAACCTAAACACTCTCTATCCTTATAGATTTTAAACCCCTTTTAACTTTTTGGTGCATTTACCCTGCGTCGGCACTGTTCTTGAGCCATTTTCGGTGCGTGGGCACCGTTCTTGAGCACTTTTTGGTGCGTCGGCACCGTTCTTGAGCCATTTTTGGTGCGTCGGCACTGTTGTTGAGTGAACTTTATATCTTAATGTTATGGGATTCTTTGGGTGTGGGTTTGTTCCTAAGCCTGGAACCCCCTAATGACTAGTGAATGCTAAAACAGTGACCCTCTAGCCTAAACCCGAAACCCTAAACCCTAAACCCTAAACCCTAAACCCTAAACCCTAAACCCTAAACCCTAAACCCTAAACCCTAAACCCTAAACCCAACCGCGCGGAATCCTGCGCCAGGCCACCTCTGGCCTGTCCCTCCTACAGAGCGCGCGGCACTGCAAGGCGCGGCAGCGCACGTTGAGGGGCATGAGGGGCCTTTTGGGGTTTAGGGTTTTATAGGGTTTAGGGTTTAGGGTTTAGGGTTTAGGGTTTAGGGTTTGGGGTTTAGGGTTTAGGGTTTAGGGTTCAACTAGAGTTAGACTTGAGTGTAGGGTTTTTCTGTGCAAGATGTCTGCATCCCGGCAGGATAGCCATGCACCCAAGGTAGCCTCCCTCTCGGCAACATGACGAAGTTCATGACCCCTCAATCCGCCCTAAACCCTAAACCTTAAATCCTGAACCCTAAGCCCTAAACCATAAACCCCAAGCCCTAAACCCTAAACCCTAAACCCTAAACCCTAAACCCTAAACCCTAAACCCTAAACCCTAAACCCTAAATTTAAGAGCCTCCGGCTCAAGCCGCCGACCCCGCTGGAGCATAGTTGAGAGGCTGATGGTTCTTTTTTCGTATTTTTTCTGTTTTTTTTCGTGTTTTTTCATGGTTTCAGGTGAACCCTAAACCCTAAACCCTAAACCCTAAACCCTAAACCCTAAACCCTAAACCCTAAACCCTAAAAACCCTGAAAACCCTGAAAACCCTGAAAACCCTAAACCCTAACCCTAAACCCTAAACCCTAAACCCTAAACCCCAAACCCTAAACCCAAGACCATGAAAATACGAAAAAAAAACCAGAAAAAATACGAAAAAAAACCTGGACCCTAGTTGAGAGGGTCTAAACCCGCTCGCAACCTGCTCGGCCTCGGCAGAGTTCTGTGAATCGTTTGGGGGGGGGTAGGGTTAAGCACCAGGCAGCTCTAGCCCAAAAGATGGTGGGGGGGGGTGTGGGGTGGGGGGGGGGGGGGGGGGGGGGGGGGGGGGGGGGGGGGGGGGGGGGGGGGGGGGGGGGGGGGGGGGGGGGGGTGGGGTTGGGGGGGGGGGGGGGGGGGGGGGGGGGGGGGGGGGGGGGGGGGGGGGGGGGGGGGGGGGGGGGCGGAAAACGCGGATTTTGCTGAAGAGGCTCCCCTACCCCCCTGTGCTGAACCCCCTGTTTACGCTGTGCGGGTGGTGCGGTCCTCCACGAAAAAATTGTGCACCGACCCCCCCCACCAGCCCCCCCCCGAAAGAGAGGCTTTCACCTCCTTTTCCCATCCAACACGCCGCCAGGGTCGGCGGACCCTCAACCCTAAACCCTAAACCCTAAACCCTAAACCCTAAACCCTAAATTTGCTAGCCTTGGCTAGGAAAGTCGCGGGCGCATCTGCACCAACCCAGCGTGATGCGGCGGCAATCTGGAGGGGGTCCTGTTTGTTCCCATGTGGAGGGACCCTGAGCCTTCAGCCCTGAACCCTAAAACCTGTCGGGGTTGTTCCCAACTGTTGTGTTGGGCTTCAGCTTCTAAAGAGAAAGGGGCCCGGATCAACGCTTCACTGGCCCGGCAAGACCCAAATTGGGCCGCGAATCCTTTGGCTGTGACATTGTTGTTTTGGGCTTCGGTGGTTCTTGCTACGCCTTTCGCAGGGAATCCCCTTAACCAAATCAAAGCTCTCCAAGGTGCCATGTAGGACCAGGAGGGTGTGACCCGACACCCTAACCCCGAACTCCCTAAACCCTAGACCCCAAACCCCAAGCCCCAAACCAGCCCGCGAGGTTCCAGCTGCAGGTGTTCAGCTTTGCCAAAAGGTGGGGGCCCCGTTTTTTGCAATGAAACGGGCTCCCCCTCCTTACATCCGCAATTACATCCTAAACCCCAAACCTTGAAGTCCTAAAGCCCTAAAGCCGAAACCCTTTGGGGCATCCTTCGTGAATGGTCAGCTAAGCCCGAATCCCTAAATCTTAAACCCTAAACTCTTGACCTCTTAAACCCTGAACCTTAAACCTTAAACTTTACAGCCTATATCTTAAACCCTAAACCTTAAATTAAACCCCAAACTTTAAACCCTTGCCCAGGAACAAGCTGCCGCTGCTCTGAGCGACCGACGTAGAAACCGTAGGACTTTTTGGGTGGGCCCTGTTTGGGGTATGTTGACTTTCCGCCTCAAGGGTTTAGGGTTGAGGGTTTAGGGTTTAGGGTTTAGGGCTTAGGGTTCAAGAGGATCATACTTTTCGGGATGATAATTCAGAGCTTGAAAGGGGCCCACCCAGCTCCGTAGGACATCGGAATCGTTTGCCCTGCACGGACTTGAGTTCGGGGTTGAGGGGTTAGGGTTTCGGGTTCAGGGTTTAGGGTTCAGGGTTTGGGCTTCAGGGTTTAGGGTTTTGGGTTTCGGGTTTAGGGTTTTGGGTTTAGGGTTTTAGGTTCGGGGTTTAGGGTTCAGGGTTTAGGGTTCAGGGTTCTTTGATAAGGTCCCGCCCAAAGAAAAAACGCGTAGTCCCCCCTAACAAGCTGTTAGTCGACATACAAAGCTCGAAGAGGGTCCTTTTCACAATTTCCTTTTAGACTAGCATGCCCAGTAGTACCCTTATTCCCTTTTTGGGGGGTTTAGGTTCCCTTATAAACCCCTTTAAGCAAAAAAAGGGCACCCTTTTTAAGCCTAGGTTACTGGGCAGCCTAGCAGAGCCAGCCTTGCTAAGCTCAGTAGTTGCTTTTTGCAGTCCTTCCTGCTTGGGCCCAGAAGAGCTTTTTGCCACAGCTGGGGGTGGCAGCTGTCAACGCTGGATCCCGCATTCGGGTTCAAGCTTGCATGGCTTCAAGCAACTTCGCGCCCTAAACCCCAACCCCCAACCCCAAGCCCTAAGCCCTAAGCCCTAAACCCTAAACCCTAAACCCTACACCCTAAACCCCTGAGTTGTTCTTTTAGGAGTTTAAGGTCTATGGGGTTGCTAGATTTTATGGGGCTGTCAGGTTTTTTTGGTTTCACTGCTGATACATAGGGTCTATTGTGCAGGGTATAAAAGGCCTCTTTTTGTTGGTCTATTGGGTTTGTTGGGTCTAGGGTTTAGTATAGGGTTTTTCGTAGTGTCGTCTTTATAGTTACACCCTAAACCCTAAGCCCTACACCCCAAAGCCCTAAACCCTACACCCTAAACACTAAACCCTAAACCATAAACCCTAAACCCCATTGGCGATGCAGCTTCTGCTTGCTTGGGCCTTCATGATGGGCAGGCGGGTGCAGGGTCTGCTTAAGTACTAGATATACTAAACATACCAAACTTGCAAACATAACCAATCCCAAAAGACCCCTCAAAACCCCTGAGCCCCTACATCCCTCAACCCCTGAGCCCTGTAGCCGCGTAAGGGAGGCGGTCGTTCCACAACTGCACAGGTGTGTGGAAGGTCGACTACTTTGGCCTCTTCTCGCCGCTTGGGTACGTCTGGACCTCATATGCGCCCTCAGATGACCCAGAGAAGAACTCCTAAACCCGACAACATTCCTTGATTCATCAAGAGTCTTTTGTCTTTGTGCTCTCGGGGGACGGGGTTGAAGCTTAGGGGTTTTGCCCCCCGAAAAAACCCCCCCAAAAAAACCCTTGAGTCCCCAGCGTGTCAGGGCACACTCAGCAAGCCTTGAACATCGAGCAGGCATGGAAAGGTTTGGGGTTTCTCGGGGTGCGGTGCCGTGCTCTAAACCCTAAGCCCTAAACCCTAAACCCTAAACCGCAATTAAGTGGAGCCTTTACAAGAAGAACCGGCAGGTGCTGGAGGACGCTGTCCTACGCTTGAGGAGTCGGGTATACATAGCACGGGCCCCAGCCGAAGAGAAGCCCTGCACATGGCTGGTGTCGGATGTTTAGGGTTTAGGGTTTAGGCTTTAGGGTTTAGGGTTTAGGGTTTAGGGCTTAGGGATGTTTAGGGTTTAGGGATGTTTAGGGTTTAGGGTTTAGGGTTTAGGGTTTAGGGTGTGCTTCAGGCAGACAACCTGGTGCACAAAGCCTCCATGGCCATGTGTGATTCGGCCAGGGCCCTGCTTGCTGCTCATAGTACCCCCTATTCTCATGCCATTTAAGGACTGCTAGTACAAGGGCGAACATCCCAAGTTCTGAGGTTTACGGGATTGATGGGCGTTCATTGGAATTACGGGTGCTTCAAAATGGTGACGCTTCTTACAGAAGTGGATGGCGAGGTTAGGGTTTAATTAGGGTTTAGGGTTTAGGGTTTAGGGTTTAGGGATTAGGGGCCCCCCCCGAGCCAGGGAGGTGGTCTAAGAGCACTGCTTAAAAATCGCGCATGTCCACACCACCCCTGGAAACCCATCACCCCTAGACCCCCCTTGGACCCTAAACCCTACGCCCTAAACCCTAAACCCTAAACCCTAAACCCTAAACCCTGAACCCTAAACCCTAAGCCCTAAGCCCTAAGCCCTAAACCCTATAAACCCTAAACCGGGGTGTATGGGGCTGCAAGCTTCCTGGACAGGCCCTGGATGGGCCGCACTGCCGACCTGGACAGCAAGCAGACCTCGCCGGGATCTCCAGAGCAGCTTTGGGATGTTCCCTCCTAGAGTTTAGGGCTTAGGGTTTAGGGTTTAGGATTTAGGGTTTAGGGTTTCAGCATCCCAAGAGCAGCTGATGATGCTCAGCCCTGATCGCTGCGTTTGTTGGCCAAGGTGGCTGAGTCAGGGGATGTTCCCGCTGGCAGGCCGCTTTGTACCCAAATCTGCAGTTATGCAACAGGGTTGTGGGGTTGCAGGTCGGCGCTCGTCACCGCCTGGAACCCAGCTGGGACACGCGCGGTTGCAGTACTCTTGGAGCCCTGCTATCCTGACCAGCCTCCGGCCGGCGATTCGATCGACCGTCCTGCAAGGATGGGATTTTTTCCACCCGACTGCTTGCGACGGCAGATGGTGGCGAGATGCTTGATGAGTACTTGCCTCGGCGAAAACACCAAACTCTGGCTACCTGAAACCCTACACCGTTGATGCCAAGAATGAAATCAGATCCTCCTGGCTACTTCTACTGCTACAACAACTCCTCCTCCTCCTACAACAACAACAACAACAACAACTACTACTACTACTACTACTACTACTACTACTACTACTACTACTACTACTACTACTACTACTACTACTACTACTACTACTACTACTACTACTACTACTACTACTACTACTACTACGACGACGACGACGACGACGACGACGAGTACGACTACGAGTACGACTACGACTGCGACTACGACTACGACGACGACTACTACTACTGCTATTCCTACTACTCCGACTACTCCTCCTCCTCCTGCTGCTGCTGCTGCGAGTACTGTGATGAACTATTTGGCACTTGCCACTCTTATCTTCCAACTATGAATGACTCTTTCTCTCGCTGTCACGAGTACTCGTACTTCTGTTGTTACCAGTACTGTTGCATATTCTCTACTACCGGTTACTACCACGACAGCTGCACTTGTTGCTACTGTCCTTACTATTCCGCTACTGCTTGCATGCTTACTACTACCTACTACTACCACTACTACGGCTACTCTTGCTACTGTTATTCTCTCAGCCATTAGTTCACACGAGTATATTGACACCTGTCGTTCTCAAAATCGCAGGAGGAGTCTTAAAACCCCCAAAACACCGTGGCAACATCATCAATAGCAACACGGAAACAAAATCAAGTAAAAGGTGATGAATAGGTTGTAATTAGAAAGGATGATAACCTTGATAGCCATATATATATATATATAGCCACCGTATCAACCTACTCAGCATACTGAATTTCCACAGTAAGGAGAATTCAGAATAGCCCTAAACCCTAAACCCTAAACCCTACACCCTACACCCTAAACCCCAAGCCCATCATATGAGGTATTTCCTGGGGGCCAGCCTGAAGGCAGCCAGCAAGCTGCGGCACTCCAAGGTCGGTAGAGTGCAAGGGTTTGGGGTTTAGGGTTTAGGGTTTAGGGTTTAGGGTTTAGGGTTTAGAGGGGTTTGGGGTTTAGGATTTAGGGTCTAGGGGTGTTGGTACGGCTTACGTGGTCTAATTACTCATGGAGTTTGACGGGCTGTTATGGCTTCCTTGACTTTTATGGTAGAGGTTTACAGGGTTTTGGTGGTCAGATTGTCATATGTTCTTAAGGCTGCCAGTGATGTATTGCGACCGAATGCCCCGGCTGTTTTCGAACGCCGCTGGCAATGTGTTCCAACCCAAGCACTCAATCCCTAAACCCCTAAACCCCTAAACCTTAAACCCTCAAGCCTGTGGACCGTCCTTGCTCTAAGTAAACCCCAAGCTCAAAATCCTACATTCGAGTCGCTGGTCCGGCAGGCAGAGCCCCTCGAGGAGCAGGGCCCAAAGCAGGCCGCGGCTTTTCAGTAAGGCTTCCAGGGCTTTGGGGTGCAGGGTTTAGGGTTTAGGGTTTAGGGTTAGGGTTCCTAAACCCTAAACCCTAAACCCTCAACCTCTCTTGAGAGCTTGGGGCTCTTTGGATTGCTTTCTCGCTTCTGTCGTCCCAAGATCTCACAACCCACCAGGTATATGTGGCAGGTTTCCTGATTTCGCATGCCTTACGGGTATCTCTTGTCAGGTTGATGAACAGCAACATGGAGGTTTCCGAATTTAGGGGGGTAACCTTTTTGGGGGCCCTTCTTTTTAGGGAATCCTACTATCGGGGGTTTTTATTGGGGGGGGGGGGGGGGGGTCCCGTATTTTCGTAAACTCCAAAATGAATAATGGCCTTCGTTGTTGTTTTGTTTGCAGGTTGGACAGTGACGCTCGGGTCGCGCATTTTGGTGGTTTCTAGGTTCCTTGTTTGCTCAACGTGGCTTTTGCGGTTGTCGAAGAATGTTGCCGCTTCTAATATTACTAGTTTGTATTGTGCTAGCGCTTTTTGGATGTGATGTTCCAGGCATGTGGCTAATCTAAATTTGCGACCAGTCTTTGGCCGTGCTATTCCAATCATGCGGCGGATCACTTCTGGCTTAGTGTTGGAAAAGGGTTTGCCACTATGTTTGTTGAACGGTCTGCTGCTGTGTGTCCTATGTGTTTGCTGAACGACCCTAAACACTGAACCCGAAAACTCATCGCCCTCATGGTTAATGAATGTTGCGTTCGTGTTTGTGACTCTTCCTCTTCTTCATCTTCTTCTTCTTCTTCATCTTCATCTTCTTCTTCTTTTTCTTCTTCTTCTTTTCTTGTTCTTATTATGTTGCTTGAATGTGGAGATGAACCAACCTACTAGAACCTGAACCTTGAACTTCCCCAAGCCCTAGACCCTGCCCTAGGCACCCCCCTTGGTAACCGATCCCAGAAAGGATACCCTCCTTAGAACATGGTTTCTGGGCTACCAGGCACCCTAGAGCCCTAAAGCCCTAAAACCCTGACACCCAAAACCCCCCAAAACCCTAAACCCTGTAAAGGCTAACAGCCCTCCAAACCCTACAAATCCTAAAACGCCCTATAAACCCTATCAACCCTGTAACCCCCTGTAGCCCCCAAACCCTGTGCCCTGAACCCTGAACCCTGAACCCTAAACCCTAAACCCTAAACCCTAAACCCTAAACCCTAAACTGCGCCTTGAACCTAGGCGCCCGCCGGAAAACGCGGTGGGCGCTCGGCTCTGCTGACGTTCCGGGGGCTGAAGCCTTGGCAGGCCGGCAATCCTTAAACCCTAAACCCTAAACCCTAAACCCTAAACCCTAAACATTAAACCCTAAACCCTAAACCCTAAACCCTAAACCCTAAACCCTAAACCCTAAACCCTAAACCCTAAACCCTAAACCCTAACCCTGTTAACCCTAAACCCTACGCTCTAAACCCTAGAAGGGTTTAGGGTTTAGGGCGAGGGGGTGCAGGAGGGCTAAACTCTACAGGTTTGGAGGTCGGAAAGTCGCCCTTGGGGCAGAGGAGTGGACCCTAAGCAAGCCCCCGAAACCTCAACCCTCAGGCCCCCAAGCCCTAAACCCTCAACCCTAAAACCCTTAAACCCGACAAAGGCTTAAGCCCTACAGCGGAAGTCGCAGGACCGCTTGCCCGAGAACTTTGCGGGGACTCGGCGGCTTGGTGGCTGGGGACTTAGATATGGGTTTATAAGGTTTAGGGTTTAGGGTTGAGGGTTTAAGGTTTGGGGTTCATAGGGTTCAGGGGGTTTTTAGGGTTTGGGGTTTAGGGTTCAGGGTTTAGGGTTTCGGTTTGGGGTTTTGGGGTTTAATGTCGGGTTGAGGCATGTGAGGTATGGTCGATCTAATCCCAAGTGGGGGGGGGGGGGGGGTTCCCAAGACTAGGGGTCCGTCTTGGGGTCCCAAGCGGGATTCGACTACATGTGGCGTATACACGGGCGCACTAACCCTAAACCCTAAACTCTAAACCCTAAACCCTAAACCCTAAAAAGTTCCAAACCATGCTGCCCACGAAACCACAGAAAGACCTGGGTGTAGTGTTCGGGTCTCGGGCTTCGGGTTGGGAATTGTGGGGCTCAGGTGGAGTCGTTTTCAGGGAGTTCGGGGGTTGAGCCCTATGCGGGCCCTTTACCCGAAATCCTAAACCAGAAGCCAACAGCCCTAAACCCTAAACCCTAAACCCTGAAGCCCCCTCTGCCCTCGGCCTCAGGCGGCGTGCCTTTCCAGGTCGAGTGGGAGGCAGGTGCGTGAAAAGCTTTGAGCATGCGGGTTTCAACCTTGGTAGCTCAGGGGTTTAGGGTTTAGGGTTTATGGTTAAGGGTTTAGGGTATGTCCCAAAATAGGGGTACCCCCCCCGCCCAAATAGAATAGAATCCCCTTAAAGGGACTCCCAAAAGGGTCCCCCTGTCGTGAGCTGCCTGAATCCACAACAACACACTTTGACCCTAAGCCCTGAATCCTGAAATCCTAAACCCTAAACCCTAAACCCTAAATCCTCAAGCCCCTAAACCCTACACCCTAAACCCTAACCCTAACCCTAAACCAGGGTCCCTGGAGTTTGGTGGAAAACGACGAGTTCGAGAACGATGCCCCTCGGCTGGCTGATGCAGGGTTTCGAGCTGCAAGAGAGTTGCAGCCCCCAAAACCCTAAGCTCAGGGTTTAGGGTTTAGGGTTTAGGGTTTAGGGTTTGCTATACCCCAAGGCCCCAACGAGCCCTTCGAAAGACCCTCTCCTACCCCTCTATGAACCCACATCCCTCATTCTTATTAAGGCCGTGAAGCGCCACCGCTTTGCAGCCCGACTGGTGGGCGCCGTCGGCCGCATTCGCTTCCGCCGCCCTGTTAGCATCCAGTCCGTAGACCTCCGGCGGCCGAAGTCCTGCAGAGTGCCGTTCGGCATGCCCCTGGTGGTGAAACTTACCTTCTCCAACAGCTGAACTTTTAGACTTTTTGGGTTTCTTATATTTCGGTAGGAATAAGAACGTATAACCCTGAACTTCATAAACTTTTTGGGCTTCCCTACTTCGTAGGAATAGTAAAGTCTAACTTTTTTTTAGGTTCTTGGAGCAGCAAGGAAGGGGCGCCGGAGGGGAGTGGAGGTGTTTCAGGAGGTCGTGCCGAAGTGGGACCTGCACACCTTTGTGAACCCTGGTAGCCCCGTGGTACCCTTTCCCCCTGTTTTTTTGGGGGTTCAAGGTTCCCTTATGAAGGAGCTAACCCAAAAAAGGGTTTAGGGTTTAGGGTTTAGGGTTTAGGGTTTAGGGCTACCAAGGAACGGGGTGGCCTTCTTTGCCTTGACCTCCACAGATGTGGTGGACGAGCTGGTGTTCCAGGAGTGCATCCTCATAGGAGCCATCCAGCTTACCTTTGGCTTCGACTTAAACACAGTCCTCTGGGTCATTGTTGAGAATCATTTTGCGTTTTTTGAATGCAGAGCCCTAAACATCCCTAAACCCTAAACCCTAAACCCTAAACCCTAAACCCTAAACCCTAAACCCTAAACCCTAAACCCTAAACCCTCAACCCTAAACCCTAAACCCTAAACCCTAATCAGTGCCCCAAAAGAATGGTGGGGCAGGTCTTCAGTGACCAGCTCCCGGATCCCCAGAACGAGATACCCATGTTCTTGACCCTTCGGGAGGGCTGGCATGCCTATGGCTGGGACGAGATCCTTGCTTGGTTTAGGGTTTAGGGTTTGGGGTTTAGGGTTTGGGGTTTGGGGTTTGGGGTTTGGGGTTTAGGGTGCCGAGAAGCGAGCCTTTTTGGACTTCTTGGGTTCCCATCAGGCTGTAGGTTGTAGGAACCTCACCCTAAACCCTAAACCCTAAACCCTAAACCCTAAACCCTAAACCCCAAACCCCAAACCCCAAACCCTACACCCTAAACCCTAAACCCTAAACCCCAAACCCTAAACCCTAAACCCTAAACCCTAAACCCTAAACCCTAACCCCCCTAAAAGTTAGGATCGAGTTCCGGATCCCGTCGGATGTGGACACTGCGCCGGTGTGGCACCTCAACGACGTGGCCTCGCAGCGCCTGTCGCTGCGACCGGGGGTCTTTGAGCTCCCGGCGCGCACGTCGCGGGAGGCTGCCCTCCCAGGGCTCATGGACCCCATCTCCTCAGAGGAGGAGGAGGGTTTAGGGTTGAGGGTTTAGGGTTTAGGTTTAGGGTTTATGGGGTTTAGGGTTTATGGGGTTTATGGGGTTTATGGGGTTTTATGGAGTTTGTAGGGTTTAGGGTTTTTAGGGTTTTAGAGCCAGGAGGAGGAGATGTTGGAGGCCCCGAACGAAGGCTTCATCCCGGGTGCCTCCGAGGGCCCGGAGCCAATCCGCATGCCCCCGGAGCTGGAGGAAGTGCTCGATGCGGCCATCCTGCCGCAGGCTGGGCACAAGAGGGGGGTTTAGGGTTTAGGGTTTAGGGTTTAGGGTTTAGGGTTTAGGGTTTAGGGTTTAGGGTTTAGGGTTCAGGGTTCAGGGTTCAGGGTTCAGGGTTCAGGGTTCAGGGTTCAGGGTTTACGGGGGGTTGTGAGGGAAGCAGGGCGATCCTTGATCCTTCCCTTACAACCTCACTTCAAGAATCCACGTGCTAAAGCCATGCAACCAGTTGTGTTAGATGAGGGATGCTTTCCGACATACAGCTGATCTGACGGCTTCGGGTCCATAGGGTTTAGGGTTTAGGGTTCAGGTTCCAGGTGGTTGCCGCTCTAAGTTGCCCTCGCTTATGGGAAAGCCTTGCGTGAAGTTCTTACGACAGCACCTTGCGAACCTGTGCGGGTTTAGGCTTTAGGGTGCGCAATGGCTTCGCGAGTGATGACAAAACAACTGTCGGCCCCTAACATGAAAACACCAAACTCACGCAAGAGCACAGCAACAGTAATCAGAGCACAAGAAGCCATAGCACTGATAGTTACAACATATCAACATGACTCATCCTATTCATCCATAGTATGAACAGCACCCAAAGTCACAAGAATGTCATCAGTAACAACCATATCATCTTCACCAGATCGTCTTTAACCTCCCTAAGCTCCGAGCCCGAAACCCTAAACCCTAAACCCTAAACCCTAAATCCTAAGCCCTAAACCCTAAACCCTATCACGTAGGACATCACAGCTCACACGTCAGTTTCCAAGCCCCCAGCCCTGACCGAGGACGCTGTGGAGCGGGCCACAGCACGGCACTCAAGGGATTAGGGTGTTTAGGGTTTAGGGTTTAGGGTTTAGGGTTTAGGGTTTAGGGCTGCCATTTGATGCTGTTTTAACTGTGGCAAAAATGATTCAGGGTTTTAGTGTTCGGGGTTTAGTGATTAGTGTTTAGGGTTGAGGGTTGAGGGTTTAGGGGACGTATGGGGAGTGTCTATGGTCCACTGTGACAGGGGTTCCCCGTGTAATACGGAGCCCAATTAGGCCGCCCACAAAGGCACGCTAATTTGTTGAGCCCATGTCCTGAAGTCAGCCCTTTTGGGGTTGATGTGCAAGCAGTCGGGGTCTAGGGGCTGGTTTTGGGGATTCCCATTGCTGTCGTAGACATACAGCCGCTTGCCGCAGCTTGTCCATTAGGCAGCTGGACGCCAGCTGCGCGATGCGCGAACCCTTTTCTCGTTGGGCCATGGCTTTTCTTGCCTTGGCTGTTGCCTGCATCCTGTCGTCTGCAACCTCTCAGCGGCAGGACTGCTCTGGTTTGGATTGTGAGTTTGCAGCTGACCATGCGAACCACTTCCAGCTGCTCCAGTACACGATGTCTGCACGTGGTGGTCAAGACTTCTCCGAGTGGATCGGGAAAGGTTGCTAGGATGCCCTGTAGTACCCTCATCCCCTTTTTGGGGGTTCTGGGTTCCCTATTATCGGCCCTGTAAGCAACAAAAGGGGGACACCCGTTTTTAAATCCCAGGTTACTGGGCAGCCTAGGTGGGAATCTCATCAGGTCGGGGTCAACGTCGGCGATCCCGCCGAAACTGTCGGCGGGTCCCACCTGGTCCTGGACGGCTCCGAACCATGGAATTGTGCGTGGATCGCCCATAGTGGATTCCTGGGCTTTGGAGTACTTTTCGTTAATACTTTTTTTAGTTTTGAGTTCCTATCATAGCTACTTATACCTAAAACATGTACTTTTTCCAGGGTTTACTCCAAATTCGGGATTCTTCGTAGTAGAGCAGTGGACCTTTTTTTAGCCTTTCTGGGGGGTAGTATGTTAAATTACTAGAATCCCAAAGGTTACCCGATAGTTCCCCTAGGATACTGGACAACTAAGGATTCCAAGGGTGCCATCTATCAGTCATCCATTGACGGCGAGCTGTTGAAATTCTCGCGGCAGGGCAGCCTCCTGTGGACTTTCAGCACGCAGGGAGTCCCTCTGCCCGGCAATCCCGTGCTCCTGAATGGCGTCCTTTACAGCACCTTTGCTTAGCAACAGCTAAGCTAAAAGACTTTTTGGGTACCGTAGTTAGTAGGAGTAGTAAAGTTAAGCCCTTTTTGCCCTTGGCTATTTTGAGAAGCAAGGCATTGATACACATGGCAAGATGTTTGGTGTTGGCTCCGACGATGGGAAGCTCCTGGACTCCGCAGTGTTGTGCCCTTTTGACGTTTTCGGGTTCGGTTCCCTGATGCTCTTATGATGATGGGCCCACCGTTAGCAAAACGGGTTCCTTTTCTTGGGTTTAGGGTTTAGGGTTTAGGGTTTAGGGTTCCTCGGTTGGGAACCCGCCTCCAGGCTCCTGTGGCAGACGGCAGCCTGCGAAGTTGCCAGCGGGGATACGCACACCATCATTGCCGGCGAAGGGCTGGTTCCTTAGGGATTGGGTTTAGGGTTTAGGGTTTAGGGTTTAGGGTTTAGGGTTTAGGGTTTAGGGTTTGGGGTTTGGGGTTTGGGGTTTGGGTTTGGGGTTTAGGGTTTGGGGTTGAGGGTTGAGGGTTTGGGGTTTAGGGTTTGGGGTTTGGGGTTTAGGGTTTGAGGTTTAGAAACTGATTCGAGAACCTTTAACCTTTTTGGTTGTATATACTCCTACTATAGATAAACGGTTGACCTTTTTTTGGGCTAGGGTATTCAGGCTCTAAGGTTCTTGCTTCCTGCTTGAACAAGAACGAGACAGCTACTTTTGGGTCCGCGACCACGGTGGCTGGGATACAGGCTGTATTTGTGGGGGCTTGATTAAGCTCTGATCTGGCAAAGGCAAGCCCCTGGGTTAATTTTTCCTGTTTTCCCTCAACCCCTAACTAAACCCTAAACCCTAAACCCCAAAAAAGGCCCTAAGAGGGCCGGCCTAGGTGGTTGCGTGCAATGCCACGGATGGGGCCGTTCTCTGGAAGTTCCGCCCAGACCAGCACGTGTACAATTGGATTGGATCAATTCAGAGCGGATCCCTTCTCTTCTCGGACGCCTTGGGGGGCACCTACCGATTGAGACTGAAAGATGCTAGGTGGGGCTTTACTACAACTCTATCACTTCATTCAGATTTTGGGGTTCCTCGTATTCATATAAACCCTAAACCCTAAACCTTAAACCCATTTTGAGTTGGGGGGGTTTTAGAGCTGCCAAGGATGGGTCGGTCGTCTGGAAGAACCCTGCTCCCAGCTCGGCTGTTACCACCACAGGCGGCTTGACAGGGGCTACTTAGTGGCTGAGTGAGCACACTTTACAGTTTTTGGGTTTAGGGTTTAGGGTTTAGGGTTTAGGGTGTTTAGGGCATAATCCCCTATAGAAGTGAAAGTGTACACTTTTTGGTAGGCTTATGAACTCAGCAACTCAGGCCAGCAATGGCCTGGCCTATGTCACCAGCAACTTGGATGGAAGTACGAAACTAGGCAGGCCCTTGGGACCTTTTCTATTTTTGCTCATTGGGTTTAAGAGGATCATATTCCCCTAAACCCTAAACCCTAAACCCTAAACCCTAAACGCTAAACCCCAAACCCCAAACCCTAAACCCTAAAAGGGTCTTATGCGGGGCCATCCGAGGAAAGCCGGGCTGCTGACAGCCTTCTCTGCGGAAGACGGCCATCTTGTGTGGCAGAGGACGTTTCCCAAGTTTCCGGCGAACTCCGGCCCGGCGGTCGTGACGCATGGGGACCGACCAATGGTTGCTTAGTAGTAGAGTAGATAACTGTTTTGCCTTTTTTCTGGGGTATTGGATTGCCTTTACAATCCCAAAGGTTAAAGTAGAGTAGGAAGCCTTTGTACCTCTGTGGGGTCTTTGATTCCCTTTATCTAATCCCAAAGGTTTACCTTTAGAAACCCTAAACCCTAAACCCTAAACCCTAAACCCTAAACCCTAAACCCTAAACCCTAAACCGTGGCTCCTAAGGTTGTGGTCGCTATCGGGACGAACCCTGGCCTGTACTTGGTCGCGGGGGCTGTGCTCGACTTGGACCCGTTTGAGCACAGCGCCTAGGACCCGGAGTATGCCCTTATACTCCCTTTTTTTAGGGTTGGGGTTCCCTTATAATCCTTTTAAAAACCCTAAACCCTACACCCTAAACCCTAAACCCTAAACCCTAAACCCTAAACCCTAAACCCCTTTTTCATTCCTAGCTTGCTCCCGGGTCTAGGTGCGGACCAGCGGCATCCCTCCAAGGCGGTGGCTCTGGATCCCCAGAGTCTAGGTAGCCAAGTGCCCAGAGACTCCAAAACCCCTTAAGTAGGGAACATCCCTTAAAGTCAAAAAAGAGCTCTTATTAGACTTTAAGGGATAATTATCCCTTAAAGTCTAAAAAGAGCTCTCGTATGATTTAAGGTATATTATCTTAATTGAGGGGTTTTGGAGTCTCTGGGTGGTACCCTTCTGCCACTTTTTGTTGTTTCTTTGAGGTTCTAAGGTCCCCTTATAAAGTCACCAACCCGTACACCCTAAACCCTAAACCCTAAACCCTAAACCCTTGTTAGAAGATCGTTTCTGGGCTACCAAGGACGGGGCAGATCATCTGGGAGTACGACTTCCCTGACTGGCATGGGGCCGCGGCTGGTGACTTGGCAGGTGAGTGAGTACACTTTACACTTTTTTGGATTACTCTAATCCCCGATAGAACTGAAAGCGTACACTTTTTAGGGCTCATGAACCCTAAACCCTAAACCCTAAGCCCTACACCCTAAACCCTAAACCGTGGCAACTAAGGTGACCGATTCAACCACAGCTGTCTGCCGGACTCGTGGGCCAATCCCGTCATCGCTGGGGATGGTGCTGTCTTTGTGGCCGGCATGTCTGGCAGAGTCTACCGCCTCATCGACACGGATGGAAATGGAAGCTAGCTAGGTCCTTGGGATATTTTCTATTTTCCCCTTTTGGGTTTAAGAGACTCATATAACCCTAAACCCTAAACCCTAAACCCTAAACCCTAAACCCTAAACCCTAAACCCTAAACCCTAAACCCTGAGAGGGTTTTAAGGGCCCTCCTAGGAAAGTTGGAGGCAGAACGTGGCGAGGTCTCGGATTTTGATACTGGCAATGCCTTCCAGGCAGCCCCAGCGATCTCGGAAGGAATCCTAGCCGTGTCACCTTGCAATGGCTTGCACGTGTTCTTGTCTTGATGGAAAGCAGTCGACCTGTTCCACTAAACCCTAAACCCTAAACCCTAAACCCTAAACCCTAAACCCTAAAGCCCCTGAACCCTAAACCCTAAACCCTAACCCCTAAACCCTAACATGGTGATAGTCGGGCTACAAGTACCCTGAGCCTCCAAGCAGTCGACCTGTTCCGTGATGTCGCGTGATTGCATCATGGGCACCCAAGCATGGCTCCTGCTACGCTAGGCGTGCTGCCAAATTGGCTGGGCAGAAAGAAGCGTGCTGGTCCAGCATGTTGGGTCCCTATAAGCCCCCTTAGGAGTTTTTGCTCCATTTTATCCTCAAGGGTATCTCAAACATAATGGTTTCAGTAAGGTTCCCAGGGAAGTATACCTGGTACAGCGGACCTCACATCCTTGGGACCCAGTGAACGTAGACATCCGGGTCATCCCACGCGGTATTCAAGTGTATGGACCAGTGCGTTCAACATTTCTAGACCCTAAACCCTAAACCCTAAACCCCAAACCCTAAACCCTAAACCCTAACCCTAAACCCTGAACCCTAAACCCTAAACCCTAAACTGCATCTCTCTGAGGCCTTTCAGCGGAACGCGTCAGTGCTTGCCGCGCTCACGGAGGATCTGGTTGATACTGGGGTTTAGGGTTTAGGGTTTAGGGTTTGTCAGGGTTTAGGGTTGATACTGGGGTGTAGGGTTTATGGTTTAGGGCTTAGGGTGTAGGGTTCAGGGTTCAGGGGTTTCGATGTCCCCCCCCCTTATGGTACCAGTCTATAGCGCTACTGCACGGATTCTCTTACGGAGGCTTGCTGAAATCGCGTTCGCCTAGTTAGTGGGGTATCTGTGGCTAGAAACCCTAAACCCCAAAGCCTAAACCCTAAACCCCAGTATCCTAACCCTAAACCATAAACCCTTAACCCTTAACCCTTAACCCTAAACCTGAATCCCTAAAGAAGCAAAGACAAAGACCGGCTTGGCTGGCTTTGCGCTGGCAAGTTGCAGCCTTGGGGATTTAGGGTTTAGAGTTTAGGGTTTAGGGTTCAGGGTTTAGGGGGGCTCATGGGGCTTAGGGCCGTTTAGGATTCAGGGCTTGAGGGTTTCGAGGTGTTTTGGGTCATATAAGGGTTTTGCCCTAAACCCGAAACCCGAAATCCTAAACCCTAAGCCCTGGAAGCCCTTCACCCCTCTTTGGGTCGGAGGCCTAATTCGGGGGGAACCTAGGAGTCTTAAGCACCCCTTAGAGCAGAAGCCCTCCGAAACCTCGAGATCCTTGCACGTTTAGGGTTTAGGGTTTAGGTTTAGGGTTTAGGCTTTAGGGTTTAGGGTTTAGGGCTTAGGGTTTAGGGTTTAGGGTTTAGGGTTTAGGGTTCGCAGGATCATCTTCTGGAGCCTGACTTCGTCGAGGGGCTACAGTGGGAGGACCTAAATCAGGACCTCCTCATGTTGGCCCATGAGATGGTGAAGGCCAGGGGCTCCTCTTAGGGTTTAGGGTTTAGGGTTTAGGGTTTAGGGTTCAGGGTGTAGGGTTTAGGGTTCAGGGTTTAGGGTACTACCCCCTCTCTACACTACCCCCCTTCTTATAGGTTCCCCCCATGCTTAAGGCTACTTAGGGAGACTTAAGCCTCATTAACGGTGATTTAGGGGGGGGGAACCTAGAGGGGGGGGGTAGTGTAGAGGGGGCTAGTAACTCTAAACCAAACCCTAAACCCTAAACCCTAAACCCTAAACCCTAAACCCTAAACCCTAAACCCTAAACCCTAAACCCTGTAGTGAAGGTGGCCGAGGATGGACCGGGCGACGCCATGGTCCAGACAGCAGGTCTCACGGGACTCTACCTCGGGATCCCCTAAGGTTGTGCCCTTGAATTGAGGGACCCTTTTTAGGGTTTAGGGTTTAGGGTTTAGGGTTTAGGGTCTTCCTTTGTAAGGCAATACTAAGGGCCATATTCTAGGAGTAGATGAAGGGGGAACCTCTTAGGGGTACATCCTTTACGAGGCCCATGTTGGAGTAGATTAGGAGTATGTTAAGGTGAGTTTCTTTGGGGTTACATTTGCATCCTCAGGGAACCCTAAACCCTAAACCCTAAACCCTAAACCCTAAACCCTAAACCCCACCATGACTCCCTTGCAGGTCAGGTCACAGACGCCCTCTGGCGGCAGCTGCCTGGCAGCCCGGAGGGCATCCCTTTCGCCGTTTTTTTCATTTTTCCCTTTTTGCTCAAGGTTCCCTTGTAAGTATAGTAGAGCCACCCCCAAAAAGGGTATACCCCTGATGAAAATATGGTTCCTGGGGGTACCCTTTCTTAAAATATGGTTCTTGGGCTAGCAAGGTTGAACCTGGACGCCTTGGATGCGCTTCTTCTTCGCTGGCACTGCTGGCGCGACCGCCAGGGGTTGCAGAGTTTGGGAAGCCGCGACGCGGATTTTGGCCCCGAGGACCTGGAGGATCTCCAGGAGGCTGTGCGGAAGGAGCTACTTAGCAGTAGTAGAGTAGGTAAAATTTGACCTTTTTGGGGGGTAAGATAATCACACTATAATCCCAACAGTTAACCTTTAGGTCCCTTAGGATACTGGACAACTAAGGCTAAACTGGCACCCTTCGGAGCTCTCGTACCACCTCGTGCAGGTCGTGGTGGTGGCGGAAGGCCTGGTGGCGCGGCGGATGCCTCACAGGCGCCCAATTCTCACCGCCAAGCTCCCCGCTGGCATCGTGAATGGTGAGCAGGTCCAAGTGATGGTCCAAGCTGCTCAGCAGGCTGATGGCACCCCGTCCGACGAAGTGCGAGTCAGCCTTGTCAATGCGAATGGTGACTTACTAGCTGAATGAGTAACTTTACACTATTTGGGATACTACAATCCCCTATAGAACTGAAAGTCTACACCTTTTTAGGGGCCTTATGAACTCAGCTACGACTGAGGTGAGGAGATCGGGGCGCAGCAGAGCCGCATGCACCTGATCGGAAATGCGGAGGAGCTCCTCCGTGCCTTCTCCTCGGAAGAGCTGCCCAGGGAAGAGGGCGCCGAGGGGTCACAAAAGAGTGTGCAATGCCGAGGTGCTCTGCCAGATGTCAGGGTTATTCCACAAACGTAGAGCAACCCCGCATCATGCAAAACTTTTGGGGGGGGAATAGAATCACCTCAGAATCCCAAGGGTTAACCTTTAGTTGCCTTAGGTACTGGACAACTAGAAGTTTTCCTGCCCAGATCCCCGATTCCCAAATTCACGGGTCTTGGCCCGGTTGGCATCGGCACACCCGCTCGCATCCAGCAGGCTAGCAACTTGGTAGGCCATTCGGCTTTATGGGCATGTATGCATGTATATATATATATATATATACATATTATACATATATACACTATATACATATATATATATAATTATAATTATCCAGGATGCCCAATCGTACCCATATTCCCTTTTTGGGGGGCTGCTAGGTTCCCTTCTCAACCCCCATTTTAAGCAACAAATGGCGCCCTTTTTGATCCTGGGTTTCTGGGCAAGCTTGATACATATATATATATATATCTCTATCTATATATACATATATATACAGATATATACATATACACATTCATATGCATATACATGTACATAGAGCTACTTATAAGAATGTGGAACAACCGAAATTTCACGTGCCCAAAAGCACTTCCAGGTCCAGGTTTTAGGGAAGGCGCTTGAAGGTGGAGAGTTTCCGGGTTTTAGGGTTTAGGGTCAAGGGTGAAAGGTCTAGGGAAGCCTCTCAAGTCGCGCCGATGGGAGCATGCTGCTCACTTGGTGCAGAGTCCTTGGAGGACTCTGCCATCGGCCCATCATCTGCCGAAGCCCAGCTGAGCTCGGGGCATGCTCAGCGGGTGAGCCTCGTGCCAGCTTCCCACTGCTACTGCCTCCTGATCGCGCCCACTGCAGCCGTGTTCATCGACGTGCGCCCGAAGAGCCTCTTCAACCAGAGCCACCTTTTTGGGGCGTGGTCCCTTAGGGTCACTTGGAAATGCTTCTGATTTTTTGGGTACTGTCATTCCTAAGACACAGCAACAACAATTGCTAGGCTTCCAAGTTCGGCAAAGGTCCGTGGAGGTGTTGAGGAAGGCGGGCAGCCATGCCGCCATCAGGTCTCAATGTGACCTCAAGTGGCTGGTGATCGTAGGCGCCCATGAAAGGCCGCTGGAAGACGAGGGTGTGCTCGAGGTCCTGGAGCTCATCCGCGATCTCGGGGTCCGTCCCATCTCCCAACGGCCGCTGCTTCTTCTTGGAGGGGTGGGGGAGTTTCAGAGGCGTTTTCCCTTTTGCATGCGCCCTGCTGGCAAAGAACAGCAGAAGCCTCTGCCCTTATGCCCGGCAGAGGTGGTCGAACCCGGTCAGGCATCCGTTGTCAAGGGCGTCCGAGCTGCCAAGAAGCGAGCTCTGTACCTTGGCACTCTGGCTTGCTTGAGCATGAAGAATTCGGAAGCCTCGCGCGCCCTGAAGATCTCTGCCGCCGTGCGCATCGTGGAGGCGAGCTCGGAAGATCCCGATGGCCCGATGCTGCCCGGCCTCAACCTTTCGGACGTGCGTGTGCCTTCGCCAATTCCTCGGAGCCTTGAAGTAGAGGCTCAAAAAGAGGGAGATGACAGCAAGATCAGCACAAGCTCGTTCGATCTCACCGCGCAGGCGGTAGCGTCGGCCGCCCTGGAAGCCTCCAACCGAGCCCTGTCCATGGGAGTTCCTGTGTCATAGTGGGGTAACACTTTACGTTTTCGAGGGTACTTAAACTCAATAAGGAACCGGAATACCTAAATTCTTACTGCTATCCCAACTATGAACTAGGTTCCCTGCCTCCTCTGTGGGCCTTGGAGCTCCGTGGCTGCCGCACTCTATGTCAGCCGCCTGAAGCCGTGGACGGGCGACGAGCTCATTGCCTTCATCAAGGATCGATGCCCGGAGGCCTGGAGCCACCTCGCTTCTGAGGCGCTCCGTCGCTAGGTAGGCCCCTGGGACATTTGTTGTTTCCCCCTATTGGGTTTAAGAGGATCACATTCCCCTAAAAACTAAACCCTAAACCCTGAACCCTGAACCCCAAAAGGGTTTTAGGGGCCATCCTAGGTCTGGGCCTGGAGATCTTGCAGCCACGGGGCGCGGCCACAAGCGCAACGCCGCGTGGCGAGCGGGCGGAAGTGGAGCAACTGCAACAGCAGCTCGCCCAGCGCCTGCGCCTGCGACAGGAGGAGGCCAGCCGCACCCTGCGAACGGTCAGAGTGGCTCTTGACAAGGTCTCGGCTGAGCCCAGCGAGGAGAAGTGGCGCCGGCGGCTTGGCAGCCCAGTGACACCCTGTTTTTGCCTTTTCGGGTTCCAGGTTCCCTGATTCGAAGCCCTAAACACCCCAAGCCCTAAACCCTAAAGGGCAACGACCCCTTACTGCATCATGGGGGGTACCTTAAACCCTGAACCCCGAACCCTAAATACCCCAAGCCGGGAAGTTTCCTTTTTTTGCGTCATGGTTCCTGGCCTGCCCTACTTGGAGGTTCATACAAGCCCCTTAAGTGCCCTAACATGGTTATAATTGGGCTACAAGTACAGACCCTAAACCCTAAACCCTGAACCCTAAACCCTAAACCCTAAAACCCTAAACCCTAAACCCTAAACCCTAAACCCTAAACCCTAAACCCTAAACCTATTGGGTTAGTAAGTACCCTGAACCTAAGGCTCAAAGCCAGCAACGAGCGGGTTGGCCGGGAGCTCCTCAGCCACCCTGAGGCCGTAGCCATGCTGAGAAAAGCTGCTAGGTCCACAGGAGTCGGCCGTTTAGGGTTTGGGGTTTAGGGTTTAGGGTTTAGGGTTTAGGTTTATTCCTTTTGGTTTTTTGGATTAGGCTCTAGGGTTGCGGGTTAGGGGCACCTTTTGACTGGAATAGGTTCCCGTCTTATCCCCTCAGGAGTGGGCCCTTCATTCACTTTTTTTATTGGAGTAGGCTTTAGCGTTTCGGGTTTAGGGTTAGGGGAGACTTCCTCGTTCCCTTTTTCCGGAAGAGGTTCCCTTCTTAACCCCTGTAAAACGGAGATGAGTACCCTTAGACCCCCTAAACCCTAAGCCCTTAAACCCTAAGCCCCAAACCCTAAACCCTAAACCCTAAACCCTAAACCCTAAACCCTAAACCCTAAACCCTAAACCCTAAACCCTAAACCCTAAACCCTAGGAGTGACTCTGCGACCCAGGCTGGCTTCGTCTCGGAGGAGACCTCGGGCGACCTGGTGCTGCCTGCTTCGGCTCCGCTCGAGGCCGGCGACTTGGGTTTAGGGTTTAGGGTTTAGGGTTTGGGGTTTAGGGTTTGGGGTTTAGGGTTTAGGGTTTAGGGTTTGGGGTTTAGGGTTTAGGGCTTGGGGTTTAGGGTTTCGGGCGGCCTTCGTGCTGCAGGGCTGAGACATCGCAGTGGGACCCCCAAAGCCACGAAATCACGAAAGCCGTAGAACCCGACGTCTCCAGCTCTACACCCAGAACCCCTTTTTTGCTCCTAAACCTTAAACCCTAAACCCCAAACCCTAAACCCCAAACAACCATCTTCCAGGCTGTGCGGCGGGTTCTCCTGGCACTTCCGTCGCAAGACCGGGCAGCGAACGCGCTTTGAGAAATGGGTTCAGGGTTTATAGGGTTTATTGGGTTTACAGGGTTTATAGGGTTTATAGCGTTTAGTGTTCAGGGTTCTTCAGCGCGGTGCGGCTTTCCTACCCTGTGTCAGGTTGTAAGGGCTGTTGCGGTTTTCGGATCTTCAGGGTTCTTGATCTTTTTAAGAATGTTTAGTTTGGTTTCGTCCTCTCTCTCTCTCTCCCTCTTTTTGTTGTGTGAGTGTAAGTGGAGGTGTATGTATGTTAGTTTGTGTTTTGGGGGGTTTTAGGGCTTTCAGTCTTTAAGGATGCATCTTGGCCAGGCAGGGTGTGACTCTGCCGCATGCCTGTGACGAGTGCACGACCTCGCCGCGCCCCCCCGCAGCAGCATCTGTTTGGATCCCACAGGGATCCCGGCTGTGCATGACTGCAAGAGACATCCCCATATTCTACTCATCCACTGCTTGTTAGAGGCTGGTGAAGTATATCCACCATCATATGCACCCCATATGGCTGCTGCAGTGATCCGGCCATGTTTCAGACAGAGCCCAGCATTCTAAAGTAACGGTGCCTCAGTAGTAGTCTCAACCTGTGTCACCAGAGGGAAAGACCGGAACAAGCATTTGGACCCTTTGGGCCGCGGCCTTGGTGAAGGGTCTGCCTGGACCAGCTGTACCATGTTTTGCCCGTATGGGTAGATTTCTGGGACATTCTATTTTTTCCCTAAACCCTAAACCCTAAACCCTAAACCCTAAACCCTAAACCCTAAACCCTAAACCCTAAACCCTATTAGATTTAGGAGGATCATATTCAGGAATATTTTGCTGAGGGCTTTCAGGGCCATCCGAGGCAATTTATGGCACCTTCATGAGACCTACCTGTATAGGACCCCGATTGGTAGTTGGGTTTAGGTAGGGTTCGCGAAACCTCCAACCCCCTTAACGTCCAGTAACCCTAAACCCTAAACCCCAAACCCTAAACCCCAAACCCTAAACCCTAAACCTTGCAACCCTAAGCCCTTAACCCTAAACCCCAAAGCCCTAAACCGAAGTCACAGGCCTGCCGGCATGGTAGAGGCCGAGCGCAGTTCCGCGGAGAAGAAACCCAAGCGCGGCACTCAAAGAGGAAGATGCAAGAAAGCTTTGCCCCTTAAACTTCAACAGGTTGAGGGTTTAGGGAAGTTTAGGGTTTAGTTTTTAGGGGCTTAGGGTCTAGCGTCTAGGGTTTAGGGCTTAGTAATTTAGGGTTTAGGGTTTAGGCTTGGTTTGAGCATCTTTTTTTGAGTTTGTATTTTGTTACCCTTAGCAATCCATATAAACCACAAAGAGTTTAATCTTTACATGGCCCCCCAAGACCTTCCATTGTAAAGCCTCAACCCTAAAGCCTGGTGGCTCCCTTATAACAAAACAACCCTATACTAGGCTGCCCAGTAGTACCCTTATGCCCTTTTGGGGGGGGGGGGGGGTTTAGGTTCCCTTATAAACCCCTTGAAGCAAAAACGGGCACCCTTTTTAAAGCCTAGGTTACTGGGCAGCCTAGCCTATAACTTCAGAGCCAAAGACCGACCTTTGATTTTTTGGGTAGGTTCCCCAAGACCTACTTTTTTTTGATAGGTTGCCTCAGAGTCCTATAAGGGGTTTTGTGATATACGAGCCTATCAAAGAGTAGGTTTGGGGTTCTGAAAGAAAAAATACCTGTTCCCCAAATTGCCCTATATTTCCCTTCTAAACCCTAAACCCTAAACCCTAAATAATTGCCCCAGACGGACCTTTAGGTCAACCGGTCCCCCCCCCCCCCCGCATGTCTTGAGTTCTTGAGGTAGAGTAGACTCCAATCCGTCACCCTAAAACCCATGGGTTTAGGGTTTAGAGCTTAGGGCTTAGGGTCTAGGGTTTAGGGTGTTTAGGGTTTAGGGTTTGCCGGATTTGCCTTTGGCCGACAGAGGTCTCCGCGGATGAATGGCGCATCGGCAGCTGCTGCGAAAGGAGTGCTTCCGGTGCCGCGGATGAATGAGTTTCGGGTTCCTTGGGGATTCTTGATTTTTTTGGTACTGAAATTCCGAAGAAACAGCTAAACTTATAATTTGTGCAAGGGTTCCAAGTTCAGTATAGGTTCAGGGCTTCTAGCGTTTGAGGTTCAGGCTTGGTTGGGTTAATTCGGGTTTGGGCTTTGGGGCTCAGGGTTCTTTGCTTGAGGTTTGGGACTTAAGGGGTCAGCTCATGGGGGCGCGAGCCCTCAAGCGCAAATGGTTTTTTCTTGTTCTTTGGGAGCGCTTAGGGTGTAGGACCTCGGGTCCATGGACCCCTTGGTAGCCCACTGGTACAATTTTTGCATTTTTATTTTTTGGGTTTGGTGTTCCTTGAGAACTTTTAAAGCAAGCAACGCCGAGACCGGGTGCCCTTGTTGTATTCTGGTTTCTGAGCTACCAAGAGCCCGAAACCCTGAACCCACAACCCTAAATCCTGAACCGGATCCTGGCTACGGAAAGTAGATTGAAGTTATCATTCTGATCAAGGAACTGCAGCTCAGGTACCATCGGAAGGGTACTATTTCATTTGCCATCAATCGGTTTAGGGTTTAGGGTTTAGGGTTTAGGGTTTAGGGTTTAGGGTTTAGGGTTTAGGGTTTAGGGTTTAGGGTTTAGGGTTTAGGGTTTAGTCATAAGCTCCACCGACTCCGTCTTCCCCGAGCTCGGAGGTTAGCGAGCCAACGTCGGTGCTTTCGGCATCGGCGGCTGGCAACATGGCAAGGCCAGGTTTTGGGTTTTGGGTTTTAGGGTTTTAGGGTTTTAAGGTTTAGGGTTTTAGGGTTTTTGGGTTTTTGGTTTTTTGGGTTTTAGGGTTTTGGGGTTTTTGGGTTTTTGGGTTTTTGGGTTTTAGGGTTTTAGGGTTTTTTGGGTTTTAGGGTATTAGGGTTTTAGGATTTTAGGGTTTTAGGGTGTTAGGGTTTTAGGGTTTTAGGGTTTTAGGGCTTAGGGTTTCACAGGCTTTTGCAGGCTTTTGCAGGGCTTTACAGGGCTTAAGGGTTTTACAGGGCTTAAGGGTTTTAGGGTTTAAGGGTTTTAGGGTTTTAGGGTTTTAGGTTTGTTAGGGCTTTAGGGTCTTGGGGTTTGGGGTTTTAGGGTTTTAGGGCTTTAGGGCTTAGGGTCTAGGGTTTGGGGTTTATAGGGTTTATAGGGTTTAGGGTTGAGGGACCTGGACTACTACGCGGAACCCGAAGTAGGCCCTTCTTCCCTTTTTGTTAGGGTGTGGGTTTCTCATAAGCCCCTTTAAACTAACAAGGGCACCCTTTTTGCCTCGGAGGTTACTCTTGGGTTCAGGGCTCAGTGTTTTTTTTGTTGATAGGGTTTTAGAGTTTCAGGATTTGAGGGTTTTAGGGTTTAGGGGTTTCGGGATTTTAGGGTTTTATGGTTTCAGGTTTGTAGGGTGTTAGGGTTTCAGGGTTTTAGGGTTTTCGGTTTTCAGGGTTGTTGAACTGGAGGCCGACAATCATCCAACCTGTGACAGTTTCCTTTGCCACCTGCCGCGTATAAACTCTAAGCCCTAAACCCCAAACCCTAAACCCTAAACCCTAAACCCCAAACCCGTGATTCCTAGAGCTCTCTGCGTGCCTCTCACATAGGTCATGCACAGGACCCCTTGCATAGACCCCGTAATCCCTTAAACCCCTAAAACCTTATCCTTTAGGCTCCAAGGACTCTTATTTTGGGGCTCTTTGGCCCAAAGGCCTTATTGTATAAGGTTTTTGTGCTATGTTGAGCCCAAGGGTATACCTCTAAACCCTAAACCCTAAAACCCCCATACCCCTAAACCCCCTAAACCCCCTAAACCCCGAAACCCCACACCCCTAAAAGCCTATCCTCCTAAACCCCTAAACCCCTACACCCCTAACCCCCAAACCCTACAGAGAGCAGCAGGTTTTGGCACAGCTGTGCCCTGTGTGCCGCGTTGATCATGCCGCTACTGATGTGGGGCACCAAGGGTTAGGGTTTAGGGTTTAGAGTTTAGGGTTCAGAGTTTAGTGTTTGGGGTTTAGGGTTTTAGGGTGTAGGGTGTTTCAGCGCAGGCCACCGCGAGTTTCAGGCCGTTCAGGATTTATTTGGTTTCTGGCCGGTTTATAGTTGGTTTATAGGGTTTAAGATTTACGGTTTAGTTGGTTTAGTTTGTTTAGTTGTTTTGGTTGGTTTACTTCGTTTAGGGTTCTAGTGGTAGTGGATTTGGGACTGTAGCTTGGGATGCTCCCCCTTTTGCTAACAGTCCTTTAGAGGGATTTTTCTAGGGGATACTCTACTCCCTATTGAGCTAGGGGATACTCGACTCCCTATTTAGGAGCTGTTAGTTTCACGGAGAACATCCCAACCCTAAACCCTAAACCCTAAATCCCTAAACCCTAAATCCCAAACCCTAAACCCTAAATCCCAAAATGTAGCCGTTGCACGTATTCTTCAACTCAAGGGGCCGTCCGGGAGCCGTTCTCAGCGAAGTCCCTATGCTTGGCACCCCCAGAGAGACAGCTACCCCCTTAGATAGGGTTTCAGGGTTTCGGGTTTAGGGTTTAGGGAACCTTCCTATGACTTGTCATATTCTTTCCTTCAGGGGTAAGACCCTAAAACCCTGGACTGTATCATCCTTATAAGGCCATTTAGGGTTTAGGGTTTAGGGTTTAAATGTATGTTTTATGGCCCCCCCCCCCCCAAGCGTACCATTGGAAATATACACCCTGCTCCACATGTGTTCCTGCTCTACCTTAGTAGCTGAGTGAGTACACCTTACGCTTTTGGGATACTAGAATCCCCTATATAGAACTGAAAGTTTACACTTTTTTGGGGCTTATGAACTCAGCAACTAAGTTACTGCAGAGACAGTCGGCACTGCCTGGCCATGTGTGAACTGGGAGTTGAAGACAGGCAAGAGCAGGAGGCTCCATCACAGAGGCACGATATAGCCCGAAACCCGAAACCCCAAGCCCCAAGCCCCAAACTCTGAATCTAAACCCTAAACCCTAAGTAAACCCTACCCCTACCACTAAGTTTGGGGCCTCATCTACAAAGAACGGGCTGTCATACAGACATGACTAATTTGGGAACAACGCCTCGAGCGCACGTCGCCACGGGAGGGGTGGGGGGGGGGGGGGCAAAGGCGAAACGTTCCTTGGGATTTGGGGTTTTTTCGGCTTAAATAAACCTGAGACCTAAACCCTGAACCCTAAACCCCAAACCTAACCCCGAAACCCTAAAACCCCAAACCCTAAACCCTCAACCCTCAACCCTCAACCCTAAGCCCGGACCTGAGGACACCTCCGCTCTCGGACACGTCAGATGAGGCCACACCCAAGACATCAAACCCTAAGCCCATGGAACCCCAAACCCATTTCGGGTTCAGGGTTCAGGGGTTAGGGTTTAGGGTCTAGGGACCTAGACTACTAGGGCCCAGCGTCGGTCCCTCTTCCCGTTCTTACGGCTTAGCTTCCCTTCCACGTCCCTTGAATGCGAAAAGGGTGCCCTTCTTAAGTCCTAGGCTACTCTTGGGTCTAGACTAGGTAGGCCCTTGGGATAGTTTGTATTCTTTTAGGGGCCAGCCTCGGAGACCGGAGACCCTAGACCCTGCAAGGGAGGGCTTCTACTACTGTTCGGGGTGGGTGTACATATGGTCACTTATCTAAACTATGGTCCCTGTTGGCCCATATTGTAAGGTGGCCCCTCTTATTTCGGGTACCTAAAAAGGGACATGATTTAGAGAACTCACCATATGGCCTCTTCTAACGAGTGGTGAGTGTATCTGTTTGGTGCCTACCGGCGGATACGAATTTAAACGCTACCTCCTACCACCTAGGTGTAAGCTTTGGTTTGGGATGAGCTGGGATCCTGGTATTGCATGCAGACCAAGGATTCAAACATGGGATCCTGACACATCATGCTTAGGATCCGAATGCAGGACCCCAGTACCCCTAAACCCCAAAGCCTATTTATAGGATCCCAATGAAGTTCATAAGGTGCATTCCTCAGGGTTTTGGGCCATCTGTGCTGATGTCCTCGCTTCGGATTTAGGGTGGTCGTGCGTTTTATTCTCAGATGTGCTTTTGACTTCGTGATGTGTAGGGTATTATCATTTGTAGCTGCCGCTGCCCAGGAGGTGGCTGAAGATCCAACCGGCCAGTGCCCTCGTAGGCATGAGGAGGTGCAGCCACACCACAGATGCGCCCCCCCAAAACCCTGAAACCCTAAAACCGCAACTGTGTACGAGCCCTTTGTACGTCACGACCTGATATAATATCCAATTAACGGCTACAGTTCTGTTCTGCAAACGCATTGCAGCTAGCAGAAACCCTGAGCCCGAAACACTACAACAGGTACTTGCAAGTAGGGGCCACCTTCTTCGCGGTGGCTGTCATGGCGGGAAGCCCAGCGCCCGCTTGACACCTTTCACCCTAAACCCTAAACCCTTAAGCCCCTAATTTTGAATAAGGTTTCGGGAAGTTTCGGGTTCAACATTCCAAGCCCTATCCCCTCCGACCATAAAAAGCCTTTAAAACCCTCAAACCCTCAGCACCCTAAAGGCCCTGCCCTCAAACCCCAAGAAACAACACCCAAAACTTCGATTCTGGCGCCTTTTGTGCCCCCTTAGGTCTGGACGTTTGTGGCGGACGCAACCTCAGCAAGAGTCGGGAGTTGAACGTCTGATCGTATATGAAGGGTTGAGGGTTTAGTGTTTAGGGTTTATATGGTTTGGGGTTTAGGGTTTAGGGGTCGAAGCCCGACACCAACCCTGAACCCTAGACCCCATGACGGATTTAAGTTTTAGGGCTTTATCTGCGATTCCACTACCTTACAACTCTTAGTAGCCCAGTGGTACCCTTTTGGGTTTAGGGTTTAGGCTTTGTTTGGGTCTGGGGTTTTGTGGTTCCAAAAAGGGGTACCCTTGTAAAAAATGGTTGCTCGGCTACCTGACCGGTCATGGTCCCTAAATACAGGCAGGCCCCAAGTAGGGAATATTTTGACTTTGGGGCTTAGGTCTTTGGGGTTTTGCTTTTTGGGTTCAAGGGTAATAAAGTCGCAGTTTGTTTGCTCAACCCTACACTTTGCCCGAAGCCCTTAACCCTAAACCTTTAACCCTAAAGCCTAAACCTTCAACCCTAAACCCAAAACCTTCAACCCTAAACCCTAAGCCTTAAACCCTAAACCCTAAACCCTAAACCCTAAACCCTAAACCCTAAACCCTAAACCCTAAACCCTAAACCCTAAACCCTAAACCCTAAACCCTCTGGGTGGCAGTGCTTGAGGCCTGGCTGTGCTACAGCGGGCCTCTAACGGAAGGCGTGCTGGCCAAGAAGACGGGCCTAGAAGGCGGCCCGGGCACAGCTGGGTTTAGGGTTTAGGGTTTAGGGTTTAGGGTTTAGGGTTTAGGGTTTAGGGTTTAGGGTTTAGGGTTTAGGGTTTAGGGATGTTTAGGGGTGTTTTGGGTTTTGGGTTCAGGGTTCAGGGTTTAGGGGGTTTAGGGTTTGGGGGGTTTAGGGGTTTTGGGGTTTTGGGGTTTAGGGGGTTTAGGGGTTTTGTGGTTTTGGAGTTTCGGGGTTTTGGGGTTTCGGGGTCTTGGGGTTTCGGGGTTTCGGGGTTTCGGGGTTTTGGGGTTTCGGGGATTTGGGGTTTCGGGGTTTCGGGGTTTTGGGGTTTTTGGGTTTTGGGGTTTTGGGGTTTTCGGGTTTTGGGACGTGGGGTTTCGGGTTTTGGGTGTCTTGGCCACCTTTCATCACCAGGAGCCCAAAACCCCAAACTGCTCAACCCCCAAAACCCGAAACACTCACCCTAAACCCTAAACCCTAAACCCTAAAGTCTTTGGCCGCGAGCGCGACCTAGTCGCGAAGCGGCCTCGCGACGATCAGGAGCCGTCAAGACACACCACTGCAGAGGGTGAAGCCTCTGCAGCCTCTCCTCCTAGGCAAGGCCCCCCTCATGGGACTACTAATAAAGATGAGACCTGTAAACTTCAACCCCATACCCGGCATGGATCCCAAATCCTAATTCGAGTCTACAAGCCTCCTGGAACTTGAGAGGGAAAGTTTGCCTCCAAAAACACCCCACCTGAGGGGGACCCCAGGATCGGCCCGGGTCCCAGTTAAAAATGCGATTTTTTAGTTCTGGGTGGGCTCTGGTTTTCTGGATTTTTGGACCAAACCGAGCCTTCACCGGTTTGGATCCTAAATCCTAATTCGAGCCTACAAGCCTCCCGGAAGCCTCCCACTGCTTTTTGAAGGTCCCCAGAGCTCCTTCGACAGCTTTTCAAGCTGTTTGGGAGCCTTTTAGGGAGTTCCAAAGGGTCACCCGGACCCCCGCGACCTTTTCACGGCCTAATTTTGGTCAAGGGGGGGTCGTATTTTTCCATTTTCGAAGCAATTTAGTATTCGGAGACCCCCCCTTGCTCAAAACTCCGACCCCCCCTTGAGAGGGAAAGTTTGCCTCCAAAAACGCCCCAAATCAGGGGGACCCATGCGATTTTTTAGTACTGAAATCGACGGTTCTGGGTGGGCTCTCGTTTCCTGGATTTTTGGCCAAGACCGAGCCTTCCCCAGGATTTCAAGTTTTTCAGGGTTCTTCAAGGTTTTGCAGAGTTTTTCAATGCTTTTGAATGTTTTTCAATGTTTTTCAGGATGTTTCAGGGTTTTTAACCCTCAATTCTGATGAAGGGCCGCCCCCGCGCCCTTTTCACGGCCTAATTTTGGTCAAGGGGGGGTCGTATTTTTCCATTTTCAAAGCAATTTAGTATTCGGAGACCCCCTTGCTCAAAACTCCGACCCCCCCTTGAGAGGGAAAGTTTGCCTCCAAAATCACCCCAAAGGAGGGGGACCCCAGGATCGGCCCGGCCCCAGTCAAAAATGCGATTTTTTAGTACCGAAATCGATGGTTCTGGGTGGGCTCTCGTTTCCTGGATTTTTGGCCAAGACCGAACCTTCACTAGGATTTCAAGTTTTCCAGGGTTCTTCAAGGTTTTCCAAAATTTTCAATGCTTTTGAAGGTTTTTCAATGTTTTTCAAGCGTTCGACCCCGTTTGCCTCCAAAACCACTCCAAATGAGGGGGACCCCAGGATCGGCCCGGGCCCCAGTTAAAAATGCGATTTTTTAGTACTGAAATCGACGGTTCTGGGTGGGCTCTCGTTTCCTGCGATTTTTTAGTACGGGCGTCTCCCAGACCATTTCTGAGCCTTTTCGGGTTTCTCCCGGACCAGTCCTGAGCATTTTCTCAGACTGTTCGGGCTTCTCCCGGACCATTTCTGAGCTTTTCGGACATTGCTACTTTTAGGGTTTTCTCCCTAGAGCCAAAATTCCGACACTTCTCCTTGAAACCACAGTCTTCTGGCGGCAGCCAGGGACCCCCCCGCAAAATCTGGACCCTGGTACTCCGCGGTTCGGCAGACTGGACACGGCAAGGAGTCGTCCTCGTGTCATTCGACCTTTTCGGGTTTCTCCCAGACCCATTCTTTCGAAGGTTCTTCCATGCCTTGTCAGCCTGCAGGGCAGCCGGTAGTTTCCCACGGATCAAGAGCGTGCGTGTTGTCTCTCTTCTGAGAGGAGGCTTTGTTTTGCCCACGGATCAAGAGCACGCACGCTGGTCTCTTCTGAGAGAAAGCGATGTTTTGCTGGCGGCAGCCAGGTAGTCTCGCGTAAAACCCGGACCCTGGTCCGAGAGAAACAATCTGGGCCCACAATCTTTTGTTTTGGCGGCAGCCACATGGTTTCATGTGAAACCTGGACCCCAGCTCTCTGCTCGGGTTGCTCCAACCGATGTTCTGCTATTCTGGTGGCACCCAGGTAGTTTCACGCGCAACCCGGACTCTGTCTCTGCTCCGATCGTTGTCTCGCGTAATCCGGACCGTGTCACCTCATCAATAACCTCGTGCTGTTATTCTGGCGGCGGCCGTTCGGTGGAAAACTTCCCTCAGGTTTCTCCAATCACTTTTTTCTTAAACATCTGCGCGCAAGTTAAGTTGCATCCTTCGGCTACAACTCAACTTCCGCGCGACGTGATTGTAATTTAGAGAAGGGGGTGAGAAAAAGAAAAAAAGAAAAATTGATTACACAACGAACACCGGGAGGGTCGGGCGGGCAACAAGCAGCCGCGCGTCAGGCTTGGCACACCCTAAACCCTAAACCCTAAACCCTAAACCCTAAACCCTAAACCCTAAACCCCTTTCATCACCAGGAGCCCTCAACCCTAAAGCCCAAAGCCCAAACCCTAAACCGGGAACCTTCAGCCCACCCTGAAAACCATGCAGGTGAGAGGACAGAAGGTCCTGCCAGCTCTGTTGTCGTTGTGTGCAGTTGTCCACTGTTCGTTTTTTCAGAACCAAACAAATGCAAGGGGTTAGGGTTTAGGGTTTAGGGTTTGGGGTTTAGGGTTTAGGGTTTAGGGCTATTTGCTTAAGATCCCCGCCCAAAAACACCAAAGAATACTAACCCCTATATGGCCGTTACAAGGAAAACATGTTTTGGGAGGTTCTTAAGCAAATAGCAGTTGTGTCTTCGGCTTAGGGCTTGGGGGTTTGGGTGTTAGGGTTTCCGATGGGGGGCGTGTACTAACCCCTAACCCCTAAACCCTAAACCCTAAACCCTAAACCCTAAACCCTAAACCCTAAAACCCTAAACCCCTAAACCCCTAAACCCTAAACCCCTAAACTTTGGGGCTCATGGAGCTTATGGGGCTCAGACTGGGCTTCGGGCCTTATCGGCCTAGGGTCGGGTTTAGGGTTTAGGGTTTAGGGTTTAGGGTTTAGGGTTTAGGGTTTAGGGTTTAGGGTTTAGGGTTTAGGGTTTAGGGTTTAGGGTTTAGGGTTTATAGGGAGGAGTTGAGGGTTTTATGGGTTTAGGGTTGGGATGTTCCTTGATCGAGATTGGTGTACCCCTATGATAATCCCTACTAAGGACTGTTAGTCTTATGGGGAACGTTTCCAGGTTTGGGGTCTGATTGGTTTTGGGGGTCTAGGGCCTTTGGGTTTTGGGGTCTGGGGGCCTCCTTTCGGGTTTGGCTTTGGGCTTTGGGGTTTAGCGTCGCAGGGTTGCAGGGGTTAGTGTGTTGGGATGTCCCTAAACCCTAAACCCTAAACCCTAAATTCTAAACCCTAAACCCTAAACCCTAAACCCGAAGGTTCCCTAGGCGCCAGATTCAGATTCAGACTTGACCTGCACAGGCGAGCCCTCCGATCTCTCCGAGAGTGTCCTCCAGAGAGTAGCGCAAGGTTCCGGCGCTGGCAGGAGTTGAGGGTTTTTATTAGGGTTTAGGGTTTGGGTTTAGGGTTTAGGGTTTAGGGTTTAGGGTTTAGGGTTTAGGGTTTAGGGTTTAGGGTTTAGGGTTTAGGGTTTAGGGTTATGGTTTAGGGTTTTGGGTTTAGGGTTTAGGGTTTAGGGTTTAGGGTTTAGGGTTTAGGGTTTAGGGTTTAGGGTTTAGGGTTTAGGGTTTAGGGTTTAGGGTTTAGGGTTTCGGGAGGAGTTGAGGGTTTTGTGGGTTTAGAGTTGCGGTGATTCCCCCTCATGCTAACAGTCCTTAATTGGGATTATAGGACCCCCTATAATAGTCCCTATTAAGGACTGTCAGTGCAAGGGGAACATCCCAAGCTTAGGGCTTAGCTTAGTGTTTAGTGATCTGGTCGGCTTCGGGCAGGCAGCTACCACAGAACCCAATACCGGCAGCCCAAAAATCAGGGTTTAGGGTTTAGGGTTTAGGGTTTAGGGTTTAGGGTTTAGGGGTTAGGGTTGAGGGTTTAGGGTTTAGGGTTTAGGGTTTAGGGTCATGCCACCCTCCATGAGGTTTTGCAGACTTCATCATCGAAAACAGCAGAAAGGACGGGCTGGGCGATCGGTGGCAGCATCCAAGAAGCCTAAACCCTTGACTTTTTGCAGGTGCCCCCGAGCGCGATGCTCCGAATCCTCAAGCCCTCAACTAAATCCTCAAGCCCTCAACTAATTTAGGGTTTAGGGTTGAGGGTCAAACCCTGAACGCGCAACCTTCGCGGTTGTTTGGGGTCGTGGCCTTTGAGAGTATACAGAAGTGTGGCATAATTTGGTGGCTTGTGCTAAAGAAGTAGCTCAGCTGGTGCAGTCGGCAAAGTTCTGCGTGGAGGCCCTAACCCCTAACACCTGCAACTGCCCGACCGAAACTTGAAGCTTGCAACTGGCATCCAGGAGGATCCAGCAGGCCTCCACCTCAGCAAGACGACGCCGGGTGGCGAATGTGGGGTTCACGTTTGAAGGAAGGTTTTTGGTTTGGGGTTGGAGTGGGTGTGGGGGTTTGGTTCAGGGTTTAGGTGTACCCTAGACCCTAAACCCTAAACCCTGAACCCTAAACCCTAAACCCTAAACCCTAAACCCTAAACCCTAAACCCTAAACTCTAAACCCTAAACCCTAAACCCTAAACCCTAAACCCTAACCCTTTCAAAAAGGCTCCCTCCTCCAGCCTTGTGGAGGGTCTCATGTCTTGGCACTCTTTCGTGCATGTTTGACTTTGTGGTACTTTACTATAACTTTAGATCTTTAGCCTTTTTGGGTTTATTGGGTTTCTTAATAAGGCAGCTGAGATTTTTATTTATGGCTACCCTCCTAAGTGCAGCCAAGTTTCGTGCATGTTCGAGGTGGTCAAATGCGAAGCCTGGACTTAGCGAAGTTCGAGGCCGCTTTGGACGGCATCAGCTCTTGCTGGCCCTAAACCCGAGACCCTACTCTAGGATGCCCAGTAGTGCCCTTGTTCCCTTTTTGGGGGGTTTAGGTTCTCTTATAAACCCCTTTAAGCAAAAAAGGGCACCCTTTTTAATCCCAGGTTACTGCGCAACCCAGTACTGGGAGGTTCATGGGTACTTGTAACCACAATTTGACCTGCACTTATCTAATCCCACTAAGTCCGCCAAGTAGGTTATGAGTAGACTCATAAGTACGGCTATGAGTACCCTGAACCTCCAACTAGGCCCTAAACCCTAAACCCTGAACCCTAAACCCTAAACCCTAAACCCTAAACCCTAAACCCTAAACCCTAAACCCTAAACCCTAAACCCTAAACCCTAAACCCTGAACCCTGAACCCTAAACCCTAACGGCAGGAGCTGGTTGCAGTTGCTCCCGCAGCTGCGGCATCGGCGCTTTATGGCTACAAGGGCTGTAGTGGGCCATCCAAGGACTGTTCAGGGTTTAGGGTTTAGGGTTTAGGGTTTAGGGTTTAGGGTTTAGGGTTTAGGGTTTAGGGTTTAGGGTTTAGGGTTTAGGGTTTAGGGTTTAGGGTTTTGAGGGTTTGGACTCTGAGAGGTGTAGACCTAAGTTTTAGGTCTCCGCTCAGAGCTAACCCGTGTGTCTGAGGAGCGACGTGTCCCGGACCTAAACCCTAAACCCCAAGCCACAAACCCCAACCCTAACCCTACCCCTCCGCGCAACACCCTAAACCCCAAACCCTGAACCCTAGGTGCTGAGAGTCATCAAGTCTTCCGGAAAGTGCAACATGGAAAAAAGCAGCTGTCGCCCTTGCATCTTGTCCCAGGAGCCCTACCTTCGAGGTTCGTGGCACTGATAACCTACATATAACTGCACTTATGGCCCACTTCTAAGCCCCTTAAGTGCCCTAATATTGGTTTATAAGGACGCTTATAATTCGGCTAATAAGTACCATGAACCTCCAAGTAGCTGTAAGCCCCCTTAATGAGTAGTAGGGTATAAAAGCCCCCGCGAATTAGTAATAGTAGGGTCTCTGGCAGGAGGCGAAGGAGAAAGACATCTCCTACGGAGGGAAGGACGTTTCCAAGTGCAGTGCACCGGCGCACCAGAACCCTAGACCCTAGACCCTAAACCCTAAACCCTAAACCCTAGACCCTAAGCAGGACACGCCTTCGCAACCCAGCTCCAAGGCCTCCGACAAGAAGTCACAAGGCGCACAGCTGTCGCGGGAGTTTTCGGCTGTAGGACCGACGAGCAGGACTGAATCCCAACAATTTGGGCCCTAAACCCTAAACCCTAAACCCTAAACCCTAAACCCTAAACCCTAAACCCTAAACCCCTAAACCCCTAAACCCCTAAACCCCTAAACCCCTAAACCCCTAAACCCCTAAACCCCTAAACCCCTAAACCCTAACCCGTAACCCCCTAAAACCTAAACCCTAAACCCGAAACCCTAAACCCTAAACCCTAAACCCCAAACCCCAAACCCCAAACCCCAAACCCCTAAACCCCTAAACCCCTGAACCCCTGAACCCTAAACCCTAAACCCTAAACCCTCAACCCTAAACCCCTCACCTTGAAACCCTAAGCCCCTTAAGTCCTTTGCAGGCAGAGCTGCCTTTGCCAGCCGCTGTGGGGGCTGTGTGGGCCAATCGAAGAGCCTGGCAGCCCGGGAAGCTTCCTCCCGCCTGCTTTTTTCGTAGGGTTTAGGGTTTAGGGTTTAGGGTTTAGGGTTAAAATTAAATATTTGGGGTTTAGGGTTTAGGGTTTAGGGTTTAGGGTTTAGGGTTGTTATCAGAAAGAAAGAAAGAAATAAAGAAGAAAGAAAGAACAAGAGAAAAAAAAATACCATGCGAGCATGGTGTTGCAAATGGGGGGGAGGGGGCTGTGCCCACCCCCCCCCCCCCAACCCCCCCGCCTTGTTAAGCCGTGCTAGCTTGCGAGCAAAATTTATAAGAATTCCTACGGAAAGTAGTACGAATCCTATGAAGATATAGAGGGAATGGCGGTTTTGGGAGGTAAAACCAAGAAAATGGACCAGTTCCTATGAACATATAGACTGGGAATGGAGATTTTTTAGGAAAAGCCAAGAAAATCGACCAAATCCTATGACACATTTAGAGGGAATGTAGCCTTTTCCTAGGAAAAAGAAAGAAAACGGACCAAACAAAAAAAGACCCCCCCCAAAAAAAATAAAAAATAAAAGAACAAAAAAGACGCCCCAAAAAAACTCCACCCATTGTTAAGGTTGTTGAGGTTGCTAGGGTTGTTGGAGTTTTCAGGTCAATCGGGTGTACACGGCAGGAAACTGGGTGGGTTCAAGCAGTCATGCTCTTCTTGGTGCAGCGTCTCAAATAGGGGTCGGAATATTTTCACTAATACTCTTCCCTTATGGCCCCTTTGTAATTATGCAAGAATACCCCCAAAACATCCCAAAACCCTAAACCCTAAACCCTAAACCCTAAACCCTAAACCCTAAACCCTAAACCCTAAAAAACCCTAAACCCTCAACCCTAAACCACCTATTCAGGCCCTTAAATTTCCTGATCCAGGTTGCAGCTGCAACCTGAGCGCTGCGGAGGGCAACTTCCAGATACCTCAACTGGACAGCGCCCCCATTGTTCAATTGAGGGTTTAGGGTTTAGGGTTTAGGGTGCGTTTCGGGTTTCGGCTTGCTTAGCCGATTGGTGAGCTTTGAACTTTTTGGGTCTCCCTATTTGGTATAGTCAAGTGCAGCCTTTTCCCCCTTGGTTAGTGGATAAGTAAGTCTGTGACGTGCCTCTGCTGGCGCTGGTTCGCCCTAACCCTAAACCCTAAACCCTAAACCCTAAACCCCAAGCCCTAAACCCTAAACCCTAAACCTTAAACGGCCATTTAACAAGGTGAGGTGCCGAACAAAAGCTTGACATCTGGGTCCCCCGCGGTGAGGACACGCCTCATCTGAACCTGTTTAAGGAGCTGCTCAGAGGCCTGCGAACTGCCAAAGTGTAGGGTTTGGGGTTTAGGGTTTAGGGTTTAGGGTGCATTCCACACGGCAGGGTGCATGAGTCTCCTGCAACAGTTTCCCGAAGCAGATCGTCTGTGAGTAGGTCAACTTGGATGTTCCAGGGTACTTCTAACAGCAGAAGTAAGTGCAGTGATAATACCACTTATTCGCCCAAAAGTACCCCCGATGTGGCTACTGTGCTTGTTCGAAACTCAAGGAGTGGAGAATTACTCCAGTTCCACCCCTCTCGTTTCTTGTTGTTTCATTTCTTGTGTTCATGATCATGATTGGAGAAACGCACAGAAGTAGAGAATAGAGAATTAATCTCACCCCCCTCGTTTCTTGCTTGCACCGTCCCCGTGGCACCGTGAAGCCGGTCTTGACGCTGTCGAAATCAATGAACGAACTGCCGCTCGTGAGGGAAATGCAACATGCGGCTAGTGCATAGTGGGCGTGAAGACGGGTAGCACTGCAAGAAGTATTCCAGAGTGCTAGACACCCTAAACTAGACCCTACTTGGAGCTTCATGGGTACGTACAACCCCAGTAAAAAAGCCTCCGTATAGACCTACTTAGAGGACTTCGGGAGAATATAAGTATAGTTATAATTGGGGTTGTCAGTACCCTGAGTCTCCAAGTAACCCTAAAACCTGAACCCTAAACCCTAAACCCTAAACCCTAAACCCTAAACCCTAAACCCTAAACCCTAAACCCTAAACCCTAAACAGATCGGCTGGTCGCCAACCTCATGGGCGAAGGCCAGACAGAGCTCCAAGCGTTTGGGGTTTAGGGGTTTGAGTTTAGGGTTTAGGGTTTGGGGTTTAGGGCTTAGGGTTTAGGGTTTAGGGTTTAGGGTTTAGGGTTTAGGGTTCAGGGTTCAGGGTTCAGGGTTTAAAGTTTAGGGTTTAGGGTGCTTAGGGGTTTAGGGATTAGCCCTTAAGCTCTAGAGGGGGTCTAGGATGATTAGATTTTGCTTGGGATTTCAGTTGGTTGGACCCTAGGCCGAAGAGCAACAACGTCCTGGCTGTATCGCGGCTCGACCCCTCTGGCCTTCCCAACTTCCAACAACTCCCGAAGCCCGCAAGCCGAAATCCTAAAAAGCCCTCCTTGAGAACCTTAAACCCTAAACCCTAAACCCTAAGCCCTAAACCCTAAACCCTAAACCTTAAACCCTAAACCCTAAACCCTAAGCCCTAAGCTTTCCAAAAGCTCCTAAACCGTGGCAAGGTGGGCAAAAGCTCTCCGAATCTACAGCCGAAGAGGCGCCGGGTGTAGGGTTTAGGGTTTAGGGTTTAGGGTTTAGGGTTTAGGGTTTAGGGCTCAGGGGCGCTGAGGGTTCAGGGCTGAGGTGTCTCGGCGCCTAGGTGGGGTTGGGCGTAGGACTTAGCGAGACTAAGCCCAAAATGTGTTGGAGCTGCGCGGACTGCGCCGGTGAAGTTGGTTTCCCCTAGGTCTCGTTCCGAATTCTATCTCCAAGTCCAGGTCTTCAAGTTGCTTAAGCCTCCTGTTTGGTCGACTAACGGCCTCTACAACCCATGGCTTGTGGAGCATTTTAGAACCTTAGTGGGGGCCTCTAACGAACAGAGCTCGCTAAGCTTAAACAGGGCAGCCAGAAGAAAGTGCCCAAACGATTCCGGGTAATAGGATCACCTGCATCCTAAGCCCTAAGCCCTAAAACCCTAGACCACGGAACCCGAAAGCCTCAAACAACCAGACCCTAAAACCCCTAAACCCACCAAAACCCTAAGTTCAAGCCTTAAGAACCCCCCGAAACCCTAAGCCCCAAACCCTCAACCCTAAACCCTAAACCCAAAACCCCAAACCCACCACTTTTGCGGAGTTCCCCGCCGGAGGTCAAGCTGCCAGACGGCAAAGCCGCTTCGTCAGGCCGCGCTTTCCCTCCCCCCCCCCTCCCCCCTTCCCCCCGAGCCTTGAAGCCCATGGAAGTGTCTCCAGAAAGGGGGGGGGGGGGTGTTCTGAAAATTAGTTATATTGGGTTTAGGGTTTAGGGTTTAGGGTTTGGAGGTTCGTATAAGAAAAAGGACTGTATTTTGGGGCAAATTTGGGGGGGGGGGGGGTGCTTTCAGCAAGGAGCCCAGTATGTTTGCGGTATATAAGGAGAACCTCAACCCTAAACCTCAATACCTGAACCCTGAACCCTGTTTTCAGAAATGCCCTTGCAAGCCTTCGAAGCCTCAGGCCACAAAACCCGTATCTACTGCAGGTGCAGGTGGGTACCGGCACCCACACACATATAGATGCCTTACCGAACATGTCGGAGACCGAACATGTCGGAGACCCGCCTATGACTAGAAGACTTATAGAACGCACCCTACACTGAAAAGTCCCCTAAACCCTAAAGCCTAAAACCCTAAACCCTAAACCCTAAACCGCCCTCTTAAACCTGTCTTTCAACCTGAGCTCGGGACTAAGCCATCAAGGCCCATGAGCCCGTCCCTCCACCCTGAACCCGAAGCCTTTTCAAGCCCCAAGTACCCCTACGAAGCCCTAAACCCTACCCCCAAAACGCAAAACCCCAAACCCGAAACCCTATAAACCCTGGACCCGAAGCCAACCCTAAACCCTAAACCCCAAGGCCTTAGACCCAGACCTCCAAGACACCCACAGCAATGGCTTGTGCACCCTTGCTTCCGGGATGAGAGGGGCGCGGGGGCAGGGGGGGGGGGGGGACAAAAGTTCACCCCTCAACCAAACCCTGAACTCCATGCCCTAACCTTCAACCCTAAACCCTAAACCCGAACCGCCAGACCTTCAACCCTAAACCCCACACCCCAAACCCTAAACCCCAAGCCCCAAACCCCAAACCCCAAACCCCAAACCCCAAACCCTAAACCCTAAACCCTAAACCCTAAATCCTAAACCCTAAACCCTAAACCCTAAACCCCAAACAAACCACACCGAATCCCCTAAATGCTCCCTTGGCAAGGCCTGGGATCCCTGAACCTTCGCCTGCCTCGCTGGTTCTCGGGGCCCGAGGCGGGATGTTTTGAGGGTCAGGGTTGGCTGTAAACCCTGAACCCCACAGCCTTGAGGGTTTAGGGTTTAGGCTTTAGGCTTTAGGGTTTAGGCTTTAGGGTTTAGGGTTTGGGGTTTGGGGTTTAGGGTTTTCGGTTTAGGGTTTGGGGTTAAGGGATCTTACGCCCCAAAGGAATAGAACCTCCCCCCCTCCCCCCCCCCCTCCCCCAAAAAAAGCCATTTCAGGCCCGTAACCTGCACCCAAAGCCCGAAGTCCCAAACAGGTGGCCACGGAGCTCACCCAAACGTCGAGTAGGGCCGGGGGCGGGCTGGCTTAGGGCGTAGGGACCCTGAATGTCTAGGGGCAGTTTCATGGGCCCTGAGTATATGGTCCCTTTACCTTCGTTAAAGGGTTCGGGGGTATATATATATATATATATATATAAGGGGTCCCTTGTTAAGAGCCCATATTTAAGGACCATGTAGCTACCCGAAGAGAATGCTGTACTCTGACCTTGCGCGTGTCGAGCAGTCAGCAAGATCATGCGAGAGGAAACCCCGGATGGAGCCAGTTCCCTTCTGGAAGTTTCCATTCGTCGATGAAAAATAGACAAGCAAAGAATGAAATACACCAATTTTCTGAAACCCCAAACCCCAAACCCCCAACCCCCAACCCCAAACCCCAAACCCCACACCCCAAACTCCAAACCCCAACCCCAAACCCTACTGTAAACCCTAAACCCTAAACCCTAAACCACAAACCCCAAACCCTAAGCCCTAAGCCCTAAACCCAAAACCCTAAACCCTAACCGCTGGACCCTGTCAGGCGGAGAAGGAGAAGAGCGACCCCATCAAGGCCAGGGTGAAGGAAGATGCCCTGGAGGAGCGGTTCAGGGTTTGGGGCTCAGGGTTTAGGATTTAGGGTTAGGGTTTTGGGCTTGGGGTTTAGGATGTAGGGTTTAGGGCTTAGGGAGGTTTAAGGTTGAGGTTTTAGGGGTTTTTGGGTTGAGGGTTTTAGGGCTAGGTTTTGAGGTTGAATGTTTTGGATTTTAGGTTTTTGGGGTGTAGGGGTTTTAGGGCTTCCGCTCT